CGCGTTGGCAGCATAGCCGTCCTTCCTTGTCGTCCTTCCACGCGGGCACGCGACGCGATCAGCCAGTCACAGAGCCGTACGGCGCCGCCAGGCGCCAGCCCACGCGCGACCCGGCGCCCGCGCCCCCACGCCCACGCCGCCGCGCGCGAGTCCCGCACTCCGCCGCCTTGGCCACTACTGTGCTGCGCTGCTCTGCAGTCCGGCTGCCACTGGTGCTGACCTGCTGTGCGTGTGCCGTCGCCGCGGGGAGCCGTCGTCGAGCCGATCAGCCGCCCGCGCCAACAAGACAACAATTTCTAGGTTTTCTACTTATCTATCTTTTTCAATTTTACTTAATTACTAATTTTATATATTTTAAGATATTTTGTTAATATATAATAGTAATTTGGTCTGTTCTATTATCTATACTTGGATTGTACTCTCTCCGTTTCTAAATATTTGGCACTATTAACTTTTTAGCACATGTTTGACCGTTCGTTTTATTCAAAAACTTTTGTGAAATATGTAAAACTATATGTATACATATAAGTATATTTAACAATGAATCAAATGATAGGAAAATAATTAATAATTACTTAAATTTTTTAAATAAGACAAACGGTCAAACATATTTAAAAAAGTCAACGGCGTCAAATATTTAGAAACGGAGGGAGTATATATTAGTATCGATAGATTTATTGTGTTTAGAAAAAAATAGATCGGATTATCCATATCCTAAATCCTAGATCCACCACTGCTCCCGCCACCGTCATGCGAGGTTTGTCATGGATACCAAAGCCTTGCTCGTCGGCGATGACGCGTCCTCCCGCTTCATCTCTGGCTCTAGCCTGCAAAGGGGGCGGAGCGGCCCATTAGATTCGCGGGCCGACCCTAAAAATTTGGCACCAAAAGTTTGTGGGTCGGCCCACATATTTTTAGGGAACAAAGGACCAGGTCACAATGAACCCTAGGGGTCCAAGTATGTGTGTTTGTGGGGTGAGTATGCATACATGTATATCAGCGTTTGCGTCTGTGTTAAATAAATGGAAAAAGTACACCGAAGGTCCCTCAACTTGTCATCGAATTACAAAATCGTCTCCCAACCACAAAACCAGAAATAGTATATCCCTAACCACTCACTTTAGGTCCTTCAGTGGTTTTGAACCCGGTTTTATCCTACGTGGCGGCTGAGTCAGCGCGGGACCCACGTGGGCCCCACATGTCAAGCTGCCACGTCATCTCTCCCCTCTGTCCTTATCTCTTTTTTTGCTTTTTTTTCTTTACTTCTCACGAGCGCGCAGCAGAGGGAGGATGCCGGAGACGCAGGTGATGGCCGGCGGCGGTGGGGAAGAGGCGGCCGGCAGCGTGGAAGGGGTAGAGCTTGGCGGCAGGGAGAGGGAGCCTGGTGGCGGCGCGGTTGCGTGCGGGAGGAGAGAGGCTGCGCGGCGCGGCGGCTTGGCAACGCGCGGCTGGGAGGCGGCACAGAGGGGAGGAATCGGGGCAGCGCCAGGCGGAGGAGGGAGGGGAGGGAGTGGCGCCAGGGGAGAAGGGAGCTGAGGGGTGGGGGGAGGAGCTGCGGGTGGCGGGGGAAGGAGCCGCTCGCGGGCGACGGAGGGGCGGCGCGCAGGTACCACACGATCTTTGCGGTGCTCCGGCAGCGGCGTGTCCCTCGCCGACACGGCATTCGACCTCCGGCGGGCGAGGGCAATGGCGGAGCGGCAGCTTCGGTGGGTGATCCTCGCGCTCCCCGTCGTGACGGTGACGCGCTCTTCTTCGCGTGCGTGACGTCGGCCTCAACTGCGGTGTTGTCCTCCCAGCAGAGGAGGTGGACGTGGAGGCCGGTGGCGGCGAAGAAAGAGCTCGAACTGGGGGCTCCCGAGCTCCGCAACGGTGGAGGCGCCGGCGGACAGCGTGGAGAGCGCGGAGACGGTGCGTCGCGGAGACAGCGTGGAGAGCGTGGAGACGCACACGCCGCAGTTCCTCGGGCTGAGTGCTCCGTCGCCACCGCCGCCACCGCAGGGGAAGCGGTGGTCGTCGTCATCCCACGGCGGCTCGGGAGCTGGCTCTGGCGTCATTGTCGGCGTGTTCCCAGACCACCTCTCCTTCAGCGACGCCGGCATGCCGCCGCCGCCAGCCAAGTGGAAGGGGTGCTGCGAGCCTGCGACTTCAATGGCACCGTGGATGCTCACCGTTGCCGCTAGCACCATGGACCGGTCGATACGCACGACGGTGCGCTTAGGGAACAACCTCTACTTCGACGGCGAGTCGTTGTACCAGCCGAACGACTCGCTGAACACCTTCTACCCACTGGTCTACGCCGGCGCGAGCGGGAAGCCGTTCGCCGAGTTCTGCGGCAATGGCTCGCTCGACGGCTTCGACGTCAGGGGCAAGATCGGGTAAACGCTGCCACGCTCGCCCGCTCCTTCCCCTGCTCCGCCGCCACCTCCACCGATCTGCCACCGTATATCATTCGCCCAAGCCCGCTCCTCCCGACGGGATCCTCTCCTCCTCGTCGGCGTCGTCGTCCCCCTCGTTCCCGCCGGATCCCGCCGCGGCGCGATGGCCGTCGTCCTGGTTGCCCGGCGGCCGCCGCCCTCCTCCTCCTACCACCGTGCTCGCCTTCGGCCCCGTGCCGCGCTGTTCCTCGTCTTTGATAGCCTCTCCCGCAACCACGACGACGCGCCGCGGCGGCGTTGGGGCAGACGGGCAGCTGGCCCTCCCCCTGCTCGGGCGCCGCCGCCGCCTGCTCTCCTGCCTTACCCTGCCGGCCCGCCAGCCACCTCACCACTTGCCGCCGCCCTGCCCAAATGAGATGAAGAGTGAGAGAGAGGAGGTGAGGAATATAGATGGCCATGTGGGCCGCCCGGCACGGCACGGCCCAGGCCCGGCCGTGCCTGGGCCGAGGCTTGTCGGGCCGGCACGGCCCGACCGACACACCGGGCCGTGCCGTGCCAGCCCACGTGCCGCACTCACAGCCCAGGCACGGCCCAACACGTCTCGGGCCGTGCCGGGCCGGCCCGAAGGCACGATGGGCCATCGTGCTTTTCCTCAGAATAAGTCTAAATTTTTTCCTTCCTATTGGGCTGTGACATTGTATAGCTAAAAAAGTCTATTTTACCTCCCTCTTCTTTGTGCTATGGTATATAAATAGCTAAAATAAGTCTATTTAAGGTCCCTATTCTTTAGACATTGACATTTATATGTCTATTTTTAGTCCCTATACTTTGTGTACCGGGTCTGGCCTGCCAGCCCATCGTGCCGGGCCGGCCCGACCGTGCCGGGCCAGCCCAGCGTGCTGGTGGGGAGGCCCAGGCACGACCCGACGGTCGGGCCGGGCCGGCATGGGCCCGACCCAAGTCGGGCCGTGCCGTGCTTGGGCCGGGCCAAAAAGGCGTGCCGTGGGCCGGGCCTTCGGGCCTCGGGCCTTATGGCCAACTATAGTGAGGAAACAATGGAAAGAGTGAGGTGATGACGCGGATAGTCTGACATGTGGGACCCACGTGGGTTCCACACTGACTCAGCCGTCACGTCAGACAAAACCGGGGTTAAAACCACCGAAAGACCTAAAATGAACGGTTTTGTAAGTTGAGGGATGTTCTATATCTGGTTTTGCGGTTGAAGGATAATTTTGTAATTCGATGACAAGTTGAGGGACCTTCGGTGTACTTTTTCCTAAAAAAAATCTCCTTTGATGGGCCTCGCTCTGGCCTCTTCCTTTAATGTCCTTTTTTTCTTTTTCTTTGCTTGCTTCTGGGCCAAACCTAGCCAATTAGTTTCGTTAATTTTATCATCACATACTTACTTCGTTGCTAGCAGAACATTTTAGTCATTCCCTTTATTGCTAGCAGAAATAAATATATTTTTTTCTTTTCGAAATAACCGACCAGCTGGTGTTCTCGTGAATAAAATATCTGTGTAGGGTGGGATTGGAATAAATACACAGTTCAAAGGTAAATAAGCTATACGAAAGAGCTTGTAACATAGTGGTTACAAGAGCCTCAGTAGCACCTGAGGTCCTAAGTTCGACTCCCTATGGGAGCGGATTTTTCTGGATTTAACGGCGTTGTGATTTCAGTGGTAGGCGACGTAATTCAATAAAAAAAGGTAAATGAGCTATAATTAAATTGCATTCACGTTACATTAACTTAGACTTTCAGTGGTAGGCGACCTAATTAAAAAAAGGTAAATGAGCTATAATTAAATTACATTCATGGTACATTAACTTAGATGTGGGTGTAATTTAGTACGAGAACTTAAAGAAGTAAGCATGCCGGTGGCACAATTTAATAGGTGGGTACAATTTAGTATAAAAACTCGAGAAGTAAGCATGCTAGTGCAACAATTTAATAGGTGGGTGAAATCTAGTATATGAACTTAATAAGTGAGCGCATGAATACAACAACTTGTAAGATGGGTGTGGTTTTGCTATAATAAATTAAGAAGTGATGCGCAACAACTTAATTATTTTGATTTTTTTATGTACTCATTTAGTTTTGACGTACTTATTTTGTCGATATATTTGCACAAATTTGTATAAGTATACTTAAAATTTGTCATTCTAGTAACTAAAAGTCAACTAAATTTTCTATAAATTTTGTATTTCGATTGAGATTTAAGAAGTTGAATAAGAAACTCCAAACTGATGGTGCAAATTGGATGAGCAACATAATTCTAGCCTATAGATTAAATCCAAGATGGTAAGGTAATATATATCCGCAAGATTATTATGTGATGGTATATTTGTTTCGTAAAAAATCTCACCAAACACTTATTAACCAAAACAAACATATCTAGCCAACTTGCTGCACCAAAATACAAAATTCTCAAGTTCTCATACTAGAACACATCCACTTATTAAGTTGTTGCACTTTGATGTTTGATTCTTAAGTTCTTTACTAAATCGCCCACCTACTAAGTTAGTAATACATTTTTTAAAGGAATAAGAATGATCATACAAACTTGTAAACAAAACATGAGAAACCAGCCAAGAAGAAAAAAAACAAATGCATCTCAGCCTCTTCAATATATGCATGATGCACATAGCCGTACATTATTACAAACTTGAAAACAAAACGTGACAAATCAAGCAACAACAAGAAGAAAAAAAAATCGAATGCCAAGTCATGGACAACATTGTTCAATCATCGATTCCCTCAATGAACCGCCACCCATGTCTAGTGAATATCTCCATAAGCGTGCTCTCCAATCGGCAAGATGGCATCTTAATTAACATGATGGCATTCCTCATCCTTGCGTATAATAGGATAGTTTACTTTGATATCTGGGAGAAATTAGAAACTAACAAATAAGGAAACCACAAGAGAAATCACTCGTATTTCACTACAATTTGAAACTGGCTACTGGACTCAAAAAGGCGCCTCTTGTTCTCACTCTTGAGATGCTTCAGTGCACGATGTAGTGCAAGGTTGCTCTCGTTACCCCAGAGCTGTACCTCTTTGAGGCTGGTCAGGTGCCTGATGCCAATAATCTTCTTCTCATCATTGTCAGTGAAGTTAACTAGCAGGTTCTCGAGCTTTGGCATGGTTCCATTCTCAAACCGAATAACATTGGGAAGCTTTGATCCAGAGGCTATTCTTAAAGTGATGAGCTCCGGAAACCTGTGTCTAGTGCGTGCAACTAGAACATTGCCCTCGTAGCAATAATTGTGAATGCAGATGGTCTCGAGGCTGGGCAACTCACACAGGACATCGAATAGCTGGTCACCAGCAACTTTCCCCCACGACATGTTGAACTGAACAAGGTATGTGAGCGACATGATCCAGCTGGGCAACCTATCGATGCCACCGGCGATCATAAGGTGCCGGAGAAGTTGTGGCGGCGAGGGGAGCTGGTCGAGAAAGTTCAGAGTCTTGCCGTAGCCCACGTCTCCGATGATGAGGCGCCGGAGTGAGTATAACTTGCTCAAAGAATTAGCGAACTCTGTGAGAACATTGTCGTCGAAGGTGATGTCGTCGACGTAGACAACCATCTCTTGAAGATGATCTAGCTCACCAACATCTTGTGCAACCTGGAGATGGTTTCCGAGGACTGAGAAGCCCACCTCTCGCAGCATCTTCATCTTCTTAAGCTCCAGGGGTAGCTTCCACATTAGATTGGCATCACCGTTATAGGAGATCTGTAGGCGCTCGAGTTTATACAGCTTCGTCACGGTATCTGGCAGCCCGCGAACTGACGTCTGACGTACATCAAGTGTCTGCAGATGTTCTAGCTTCCCGATTTCACTTGGAACCTCCTCGACTTCTATGCCCTTTAAGCTTAAGAAACTAAGCAGGTACAACCTGCAAATATAACCCATATGATCCTTAGTCAGGGCGCCCTTGAAACCTTCCAGGTCAAGTACCCTCAGCAGCCTGAATTTGCCAAGTTGATCGAGCAATTTCTTCCCTGTATGCTGAAACATGCTTAGTGATCGAACATGCTCCAAATCCAGTATCCCATCATCTACGCCTGCGGATGCTGCCGTATTTTTCCTAGGCTGCTCTGCATTCTCAAGCCTGTCATCATCGCCCTGAATGGAGAGGCGACGAATCCTATCATACGACATTGTTGCATACTGCCCTCCTAGCAGGCTAGCAAAATTAGATTCCAGGGACTTGGACACCATGACCTCAAGGAACATGTCATGGACACGGTACATCTGGGCCTTCCAATAGTACTCGATATCTTCACGCAATTGAATCATGTTCCTATTGACCAGGTCATCCAGATAGGACTCTGCAACCTCCATTAGGGACAAGCCCCGTTTCTCCGTAACCAATCCTTCGGCAATCCATCTCCACAAGAGCCGATTCTTGTTGACCTCATAATCCTCTGGGAAGATGCTAAAGTACATCATGCAACCCTTGAGCTCATGAGGCAGGTGGTTGTAGTTGAGTGCAAGTATTTGCCTCATCCCTTCAAGGGTTGGGTTGCTCTCCATATGAGAACCAATTGATTTGTAGATTGATTCCCATTTGTCCTTGCTTCCTGGTGACGTGTAACCTGCCAAAACGCTAGCAATGCTAACAATGGCCAATGGCAGGCCACCGCACCTCTTCAAAATATTCTCCATTACATCTTCCAGCTCCTCGGGACACTCCTTGTTGACAAATGTTCTGCTGAGGAACAACTTCTTGGAGTCTTCAAACTCGAGGGGTTGCGTATGATGAATATGGTGCCCACCAATAGCAGGACTGCATGCTTTGGCCACAGCCTCTATCCTAGTGGTCACGATTATTCTGCTGCCGCGGTTGTTATCGCACAACACGGATTGGATTGCCTCCCACGCTCGTATGGTCCATATGTCATCCACCATAATGAGGTACCTGCAGTTAACTAGTCGTATGCATTATTATACGAGTAATTTTACGGTCCTTGAGGAGATACGTGAGGTACCAAAAATTTAGTGTAAAATTTAGTACCTTCTAGTACTTAAGTACAAAGAGGTACCAAATTTACAATAGAAAAATGAGATTTGCTCTGGTCCAGCAAAAAGTACCTCGAGGTATCAGCACCTCACGGTACCAAATCATTTCCAATCATTGGATCTATAAATGTCCATCTTGTCTAGCTAAATCCAACGATCGTAAATGATTTGATACCGGGAGGTACCGGTACCTCGAGGTATTTTTTGTTGGACCGGAGCAAATCTCTAGAAAAAGTGGTACCTCATAGTACCTTCTCAAGGACCATAAAATTGCTCTTAGTATATATTGTATGTAGAGTATGTTTAGATTTGTTGTACATTCACTTAAAAATGATGCGTCGTATTAGATCCAAGATGAAATTGCCCCATTTAGTTTTTTATTAAAAAAAATGAAATTGTCCCTGAGTCCCCAAATGTGTGAGATGGTTTAGTAAGACATTTTCTATAAAAAAAACAGACCTGGTATTCAAAACATAATTTAGACATATACAAACTACTCCATCCGTTTCATATTATAGGACGTTTGACTTTTTTAAGTCAAATTTTTTTAGGTTTGACCAAGTTTATACACAAAAATATTAACATTTACAACACCAAATTAGTTTTATTAAATTTAACATTGAATATATTTTGATAATATATTTGTTTTGTATTGAAAATGTTAGTATATTTTTGTACAAACTGGTTAAACTTAAAGTTTAACTAAGAAAAACGTCAAACGGAGAGAGTAGTAATTAAGTGTCAAAGTTGTGAGACATTTTTCATTTTATTAAAAAAAGACCGACAACGTGAGAATTACCGTGGCTACGTACATTTACTACGTGCCCCCTCCTGCACCCTGATAGTAATTCTTTTACACTAACACACCCCCACGAGCTTTCCATCTTATATGTGGGAGCTATCTAAAAAAGTTAAGTAGTTCTTTTTTTACTATGAATTACACCATCTATATAAGTGTACAAAAAAATTAGTTGGGCAAAGGATCTGCTCATCGAGGCTATTGGAACCGACTAGACCGAGTAGATTACGATATGTTCATCGAGGCTATTGGAACCTACTAGACCGAGTAGATTTATCCGTGGAGAATTTTTAATTTTTGAGTCAATTTAGTGATTATTGATTCCCTGAAATCTTTAGAAAAAAACTTATTGTTTTATTTATTTTCTAAGTTTAGTCGATGCATGTGTAAAAAAATGTAACTTATGCTCTCATCCCGCATCATTTAGTTTTCATTCTTATTTCTTTTATACATTCGGATATGGTACTTAAAATTTTGGATTCGTCCTTTTAATGTTGGTGCATATGCGATATTACAATCTCATAGGTACGAATGTTGAGACTTGTACATTAAAGTTGTAACTTTTTCTATACATCTTATCGAGATCATGTTCGTGTGTGACACGAAGTCTGTGTCAAGATCGGATTTCAATTATTTTGTGTCACGGTCTTATACAAATAGAATAATTTATCTGGTGTAATGTGAAATAGGCTGTTATGAAAAAAGAATTTACCTGTTGTTTAGACCTTGACAAAAATTATGTGCGCGCGTAACATGAAGAATATATTCTCTTAAAAGGGCTTGGATCATGAAAATTATCATATATAATTTTAGTTTTCCGTAGCAACGTACAGGTATTTTCTCAAGTAAAGGATAGAAAATACAATTATTTTAGGATGGAGCGGTAGTAGTACCGTACGTACGTACGTACCTCTTGTCCTTGAGATAGGACCGGAGTTCCTTGTCCAGTTTCTCGTATTTCCAATCGTCGATTCCATCCAGGAGTTTCTTCATCTTGCCAGCATCGTCGTGGTTGAGTTGTTTGTTGGCTTCGGAGTATAGATGGCCATGTGGGCCGCCCGGCACGGCACGGCCCAGGTCCGGCCGTGCCTGGTCCGAGGCTTGTCGGGCCGGCACGGCCCGACCGACGCACCGGGCCGTGCCGTGCCAGCCCACGTGCCGCACTCACAGCCCAGGCATGGCCCAACAAGCCTCGGGCCGTGCCGGGCCGGCCCAAAGGCACGATGGGCCATCGTGCTTTTCCTCAGAATAAATCTAAATTTTCTCCCTCCTATTGGGCTGTGACATTGTATAGCTAAAAAAAGTCTATTTTACCTCCCTCTTCTTTGTGCTGTGGTATATAAATAGCTAAAATAAGTCTATATAAGGTCCCTATTCTTTAGACATTGACATTTATATGTCTATTTTTAGTCCCTATACTTTGTGTACCGGGTCTGGCCTGTCAGCCCATCGTGCCGGGCCGGCCCGACCGTGCCGGGCCAGCCCAGCGTGCTGGTGGGGAGGCCCAGGCACGGCCCGACGGTCGGGCTGTGCCGGCACGGGCCCGACCCAAGGCGGGCCGTGCCGTGCTTGGGCCGGGCCAAAAAGGCGTGCCGTGGGCCGGGCCTTCGGGCCTCGGGCCTTATGGCCAACTATACTTCGGAGCGAAGGTCCTCCTTCGACCGTTGAGGAGTATCTCATTCTCCGCCTTGACCTCAACGACCTGCCGAAACACGCGCTTGAGAAGCTCCATGAGGTCACTGCGGCGGTCCCTGCTGGTGGGATCGAACGCCTGAGACACGGACACGATCGCTCGGTACGGGAACTCCATCTCCAGCAGCCGGCACACTTCCTCGCCCAGCGTCGACTTGCCGACGCCGCCGAACCCCACGATGGAGAACACCTTGACATGCTGCTCCCCGACGAGCTGCTGCTTGATCAGCAGCTCGACCAGGGCGTCCGCCTAGCCCTTGATGCCGACGAGTTGGTGGCTGTCATGGCGGTGCGCGTGCGCAGCCACCGGAGCAGCAGTTAAAGAATATGACTGATAAGAAGGGAATAAGCGGCGGTGCTACAGGGCGTCGCGGTTGACGCCGTACCGGGCGTGGCGCTCGCTGATGGAGAGGGCGCTTATCTCGGCGGCGAGGCAGCGGCGCTCGCGGTAGGTCTGGAGGCGGTGCTTCAACCTGCCGCGCACGCCGTCGCCCGGGCGGCACCTGATGCGGAGCCAATAGAGGCCGACGCAGTCCTCGGCGTCGTAGGCGAGCTCGCGCACCTGCTTCATCCACTCCCGGATGAAGTGGTCCACGGCGGCGCCGTCGTCGGCCTCAGACTACATCCGGAAGAGCGCGTTCATGGTGGCCAGCTCGTCCCGCAGCTCCGCGACCTCGCCGCGGACGCCGCTGAGCTACCGGTACTCCTCACCCAGCAGCTGCCCAACCGTGCTCACAAGTATAGTTGGCCATAAGGCCCGGCCCACGGCACGCCTTTTTGGCCCGACCCAAGCACGGCACGGCCCGACTTGGGTCGGGCCCATGCCGGCCCAGCCCGACCGTCGGGCCATGCCTGGGCCTCCCCGCCAGCACGCTGGGCTGGCCCGGCACGGTCGGGCCGGCCCGGCACGGTCGGGCCGGCCCGGCACGATGGGCTGGCAGGCCAGACCCGGTACACAAAGTATAGGGACTAAAAATAGACATATAAATGTCAATGTCTAAAGAATAGGGACCTTAAATAGACTTATTTTAGCTATTTATATACCACAGCACAAAGAAGAGGGAGGTAAAATAGACTTTTTTTAGCTATACAATGTCACAGCCCAATAGGAGGGAGAAAATTTAGACTTATTCTGAGGAAAAGCACGATGGCCCATCGTGCCTTCGGGCCGGCCCGGCACGGCCCGAGGCGTGTTGGGCCGTGCCTGGGCTGTGAGTGCGGCACGTGGGCTGACACGGCACGGCCCGGTGCGTCGGTCGGGCCGTGCCGGCCCGACAAGCCTTGGCCCAGGCACGGCCAGGCCTGGGCCGTGCCGGCATGGCCATCTATACTCACAAGCGACTGGGCCGCGCTGATCTCCATGCTCGCCACGCCGGCCCGCTCGATCTCTCTGTTAGCACTAATAATGACTCGCATATGTTTTAGAATATCTGCATTAACCAGTCGTGTATGTGTGTCATACACGTAGTGGAGTTCTGCATATACATTGCATGCATGCATGCATGCATGTACTAGGAGATTAGCTCAGTTGTAGTAACAGCCATGTGTTTGGTGATTAGTTGACCGAGTAATTAATTAGCTTATGTGGTTAGTTGAGTACGGGCAAGTTAACAATTAGTTAGCTGCATGCATGCATGTTAGTTGGGCACGTTCGGCGTCTGTAGCCATACATGCAAGAGGTAGTGGCTTACGCATGTATTGACGCAACACAAGAACAATTTGCAGCGTAAACAATAGATGCTTCTCGATGCGAAAGAGCTAACGAGCGAGCGCTCGCAGGAACTAGAACTAGCGAGCGTGTCTGAGACTTGACCATTCGGACTTTCCCTTTCATGATGGCTTACGTGCGAGTCTCCTTTTTTTTTTTCACGGTCTAGTGACAGAGGTGAGATATGTCGCTTCGAAGCTTCGTGGGTGAGATATACATGGGATTTTTCTTTATCTTTTGATACGTGCATGTACATATCCCACGCCAAACTAATACTCCCTCACCTTACTAAATAATCCCTCCATATACTTTTAATAGTTATATTTCCAAATCTAAAAAAATTATTTTTGATAGCCATATTTCAATTCAACAACCTATCATCTTAATGACTTTCTCGGATTTAATACGTGATTGGCTATATGGACATCGAGAAATATAAATATTAATGAATCGTTTGTTTACGAAGAATGACTAGTAGCATGCTTAAATAGATGATAAGTAGAATTACTTATCCTTAGTCTGTATGCCAAGATGAAATATGACTATCAAAAATAGATGGAGGGAGTATTTGACACCGTTGACTTAATTTTTAGTACATATTTAACCATTCATTTTATTTAAAAACTTTTGTGAAATATATAAAACTATATATATACATATAAGTATATTTAACAATAAATCAAATGATAGGAACTTGAATAAGATGAACATTCAAACATATTTAAAAAAGTCAATAGCGTCAAATACTTAGAAACGGAGGGAGGACTATTTTCTCCGTTCCAAAAGTTTTTATTCGATGAGACACATGTTTTTAGTAAGGTATAAACTACTCAAGCTGCATATGTCCACATGTTGCTGCTTTGGATAAAGATGTCAAAAACGCTCCACATCAGTAGACCAATTCAAAGAGAAAATATCGGGCACTGCTCCACTGTCTTGCTCTCTAAGAGCAGGTACAATAGCAAGCTATAGCCTGCTATTAGCTAGCTGCAAACATATTTTAAGGAGATAAATAAGGAGAGAGAAGGGCAGCGGGCTACAGATTTGTAGCTAGCTGTAGCACGGACTCCAAGACACAGTGTGTGTATGACAGGTGGGACCATGTATTAATAGTGTAGTATGTAACTATTGTATAAATGAGCTATTAAATTGGCTATAGATGAATTGAAGCTAGTAGTTGGCTATACTATTGAACTTGCTCTAACCATGCTCATTCTCCTCCTCTGTCCCTTCGACCGCCGTCTCCTCGTGCCTCCAGACATCGATCCCGACGCCCCCTGTTGCTATCTCGTGGTGAGGACCTACTGCTGTAGGCGGCGGGGTGGACAACGGAAGCAGGGAAGAGCGGCAGGGCACGGGGAAGGGCAGGGGAGGGGGCATAGCTAGGGGTCATCAGCGGGGACAGCGACTGCCGCAAGTAGCAGTGGAGGAAGGCGGGGGTCGTTGGACTTCGAGGGGAGCGTGGCACGGACGACAACGATGGCGACAGAGACGACTCCGATGACTCGGACGACATCGCGCCACCCTTCTCAAGGAAGACGCTGCGCTGACCGGTGAGTGGATCTAGCGCCGACGATAGTGGGACTAGTGGATCCATCGCTAGTGGCCGCGGGGTAAAGCGGATGCAACGGCAAAGGCGGCAGCGCCACATCGCCATCTTATTATTGAGCATCTATGTAATATTGTTCAATATACAAGAGAAAATACCCATGCGTTGCAACGGGTAAAGACTATTTTAATCTTATTATTGTTATATGGTTAGTTAAGATAAAATTCACTGTGAGAATTTATTTGGATATATATTTTTTTAGAAAATCATGAGCTATAATTAAAAGTCCGATCATCTCAAGTTAGCATGCGAGTTTTTTTAAAGAGATTATTTATACAATTCCTTATGTATTTCCAAAACAGAACAAACTTAAAATCCGACTCAAATACGGATTTGTATTTCCAAAAGCAAATGAACTTAAAAACCGACTCATACACGAATGACGTACCTAAGTACCGACAAACACATCTTCAATTTTTATAATAGTACCGGCAAACATATCTTCAATTTTTATAATAGTAGAGATGTATATAGATGTTTCACTTGTCAGATTGGGGTTTTGGTGGTGTTTCATTTTCTTTTTCGATTTTCACTTGGATCTTGTGATGTTTCAATGGCTTTAAATCATTTGTTTCATATGTTGAACCAAACTGTTTCATCTGGTGATCCAATTGTGTTCCACTATTTTCAAGAATTGAAATATTCTTATACTAAGTGCTGAAACATTGTTTCACAAGTGATGAAACAACGCCCGATTTTTTTGGAAAAAATCGGGCATTCAGTTTGCAATCGTTTCATAAAGATGTTGTAACAGAGGACTCTTCTGGTGGAAGCCTACAACCCATGCTGCATTCTCTGCTCACCACCTTGGGACACAAAGCTAATGGGTGGAATCAATGATTTGACCTATATCCTTATAGTGAGCATACTCCATGTAGCTTTGAGCATCTATATTGTACTCCCTCTGTCCCACATAAAATCCAATCCTAGCATCCCAACACAAAATTAGTGGAGGATGAAAATGACCAAAACACCCCTTATTATTGAATAAAATGTAATGGTGATAGGCAGGTAAAGGGTATAAAGGAATAAAACTTCTCGTTTTATGTTCTGAGGGTAGGTATGATGATAGAAGTTGGTTTTCTGTTGGACAAAATTCAAACTCTATAAGTTGAGTTTTTTTTATGGAGGGAGTAGACAACATGTGTTATATAATTTGCTTAATAAAATAATGTATTTAAACATTGTTTATAGATTGAAGCTAGAGGATATTAGGATGTGTTCTTTTCCCCTCTTTCCTAACTTATTTCCCTTGTTTTCCACACGCACACTTTTCAAATTGTTAAACGATGCATTTTTTTGCAAAAGTTTTCTATATGAAAGTTGCTTTAAAAAATCATATTAATCCATTTTTCAAGTTTTTTAGGCTAATACTAATTAATCTCACTATAATTGCATACTTTGTTTTCCGTGTTGGGAGGCAAGGTTCCCAACTTTGTCTCCCGAACACAGCCTTAGACGATATAGACGTTGAAGGAGATGGTCATGAAGATCCTAGTCCAGTTGCCTGTCAAGTCTCTAATACGGTTCAAATCCGTCTGCAGAGGGTAGCACGTCATGATCTCTAAGCGCTCCTGGCAGTGTTATACAGAAGACATATCTAATAGTTTTGGGTTGGGCTCGACGGGACTCACCATATACCAAATCTTATACGAAATGTGTTCCGGATAATGAAGGAAAAGCAAAGTTCTACTCATACACTACAAGGACTGCTTAGATTGTATCCATACTTGTCTCTTAGTTCTACTTGAATAAGGGAACATTCGAGGATATAAATACAAGATCCCCTAGGAAAAGGAGGCACATGCAACTCGCTAACACGTCTAGACAGATCTAGACACGCCAACACAAGACAAGCCAATACAGATATAAACAAACTCAACGTAGGACCCACAAAGGCCGACATGAAGGATCCAGCGCTACCTCCAATCTCGTCGAGTTCATATTCGACAAAGAAGACTACATTAGCTCTCGACTATATGTGAGAGCTCTGTGCCGCCAAACCGACAGAGACTAGATTAATTAGGCCATCCCAAATATTGCACTTATGACATATTGATATATAAAAACAACACCAGCTTCGACCAATAGGAATAGGGCTATTACATGTTAGTTAAGGGGCTCAAACCTGTATAAAAGTCACAGTCGCAATTCTCTTTTATCTTAATCTCGTGTATACCCTTATTCCAACGACCGTATATACTCTACAAATACCGTCTGTCTGTGAGTATAACCCGTCGAAAGTTCGAAACCTCCTTCATCCACGCACATCTCCATTGTGCAACCTCTCGTCGGGAGCAGGAGTCGCCCACTCGCCCTTCCTTGTCAACTTTTATCGTAAAAGTTGATTGGGCTGAACTAATATTTCGACTTCATGCGGCCTAATGACGGGATGGAATTACGTGCCATAATAAGTTCACTTGAGGTCCTTCATTTTATCGCTAAATCAGAACCCTGAACCTAAATATCAGATATAACCTATCCATATCAATTTTGATCTCTTATCAGCATAATGGCCGGTTTTAAATTAATATAATAAGTGAGACTCACATGGACTTCACATGCAAGCGATCAACTTTTTGCGTGAAGTCATGAAGTTTCTTGGAAGGATGGTCATTTGACCGTTGGTATATCTATCCCAGTCAAAGAAGCATACGGCTTCGTCGTATCGCTTATTCCCCTTCGGGGAATAAGTTAAACATCATATTTACAAATAAAACATAATTTGTGAATAAAATTTTTATATGCATATTCTCGGTTATCTAAAAACAAATGCTAAAAATAAACTTCGATAAAAATCACAAAATTAACTTCAAATTTATAGTTAAAAATTAAATTTTAATTGATAAGTATAAACATAAGCGAAAAATTAGGCCCATAGCCTCCTACAGGCTACAGCAACAAACACACCAGTCACCCTTTTGACTATCCGTTGCCACGCCTCGCCTGCTCTCTCTCAGCCACACGCCCACACGTACGTAAGCGCACACGCCACGTATGCATCCTCCATTCGCGCTCTGCCTCCGGCGTACGTTGCAGGGACTGCTTGCAGGCAGCTACAGCCTCGCCACTCATCTTTAAACAATTAGCTCTGCACAGGTCGAATCCAATTCGGGAATCGCCTCTCCTCCTCTGCTTTGCATCGATTCGCTCAATCTCGTCTCCTTTATATGTCTGCATTTGCACCGTCTCTTCCTCTCCACGTTGCAGCAGCAGCAACAGCAGTAGCTTCACAAGGGAGGAGAGGAAGGATTAAGACGACGAGCACTTGTTGGAGGAGGAGAGCAGCTGTCCCGGTGAACATGGCAGCCGCCACCAGGTGAATTCTTACTGAGTTCTGACAAGATGGATCATGGATTCTCCATTTTCGCTGTTCCTTTTTGTTCTTTTTTATACTCCGAAATAGGAGAGCATCCTACTGTAATTTTCTTGGGAGTTGGGAGGGAGATGATCGATTGATTATATTGCTGGTTCAGCTGCTCGTGCTGTTCAATTGATCAATCGTTCTTCAGTTTGCATATGTTCAGAGTTCATGCTGTTCTAACAAACCAGAAACGCCGAAACATACTGTGATACTGATGATAAATTGATAACTGATCCTCTATGTGTCTCTCTGTCTGAATTAAGCAGCAGTGCGCTGTCAAAGCTTGCTCCACTGGAGGCGATCTTGTTTGACATCGATGGCACCCTCTGCGACTCTGATCCTATCCATTTCTGCGCCTTCCGCGAACTGCTGCAGCAGGTTCTGCTTGCTCCGTCTTTCCTTCTTTCTCATGGCTTGCGATTATGCTCTGCTTCTCTGCATACTCTGCAATTCTGAACCTTCGCGTTTCTATGTGTGTAATGACTACAGGTTGGTTTCAACAATGGCGTGCCCATCTCCGAGGAGTTCTACAGCGCCAATATCAGCGGGGGGCACAACGATGACCTCGCAAGGGCCTTGTTCCCGGATTTGGATCATGACAAGGCAATGAAGTTCATGGACGACAAGGAAGCATTGTACAGAAGGTATATAAATTCTTATCTTCTTCCATACTATAGCATGATATGGTAGATGAACTAATTGCAGATTTTAGTTTTTCTGCAGAAATTCAGCTGTAAACCTAAACACAATGCTAATGCCAACGCACTGACAACTCTGAATTTTCCTAACATAACATAGTCATTCGGTTTCAGAACTAGCAGGCAGGTTGGTTCATCCTGATAACCTTAAGCCGAAAACTATGCAGGTTGGCTCCAGAACAGTTGGTGGCAGTAGAAGGCCTGCATGATCTGTGCAGATGGATAAAAGATCACAAGCTGAAACGCGCCGCCGTAACAAATGCTCCAAGGTCAAATGCAGAGCTCATGCTGTCACTCCTTGGGCTCACTGAATTCTTCCCGGTGCTCGTAATCGGGAGCGAGTGTGACCGAGCCAAGCCATTCCCTGATCCTTACCTCAAGGCTCTTGAGCTTATTGGTGCATCACCTGATCACACATTCATTTTTGAGGTACACATTAGTTTTGTACTTTTGTTCACAAAATAGTTATCTTCAGTTTTATCATCAACTACATTCATGTACTTTTTTTTTGTTTTGTTTTGAGAACTAACTATATTCATGTTAAAATAGTACTAACATGGTGTTCATCCTTGTCAAGGACTCCGCGTCAGGGATTCGAGCCGGTGTAGCTGCAAATGTTCCTGTAGTTGGTCTGACAACTAGGAATCCAGAGAAAGTTCTGCAAGATGCAGGAGCAAGCTTGCTGATAAAAGATTTCCAGGACCCAAAGCTACTGTCCATACTTGAAGAGATAGAACCTACGGTTGCCGCCGTCGAGCAAGTCTGATTTTTGCAGATGGAGCAATGGAATTCTGGAGTACTAGATGGAGCATTTTTTGCAGATGGAACATGAATACTGGAATAATTATACATCTGTCTATCCTAACAAAATAAAGCTGATTTCTAGATGGGGCCGGGGTCAGCACACGTCTTAGGACTTTTGAGTTTGTCAATTGACCATCATCTGTGCATGTGACTTGCTGTAAAAACTCCTGTAAAAAACTCCCAGTATGCATATTGCCGAAAATAACTGTAATGTATGTTTACATGGTTTGATAGAACTAAACAGCTGCAGGAAAATGGCTATATAGTTTATCAGTTGAATTTGCTATCTTTTGTTGGAAACGCATCTACTGAATTGTGGTTTGTAAACAAGAAAAATACATGTTTTGCATGGAAGGAACAATACAATAAATCCCCCGTTATGATATCCTCTTTGGCTATTCCATCCATCCGCCAAAAAAAAAATCTATTATCATCAACAACATCTTCTGCTTAAATAACTCAGAAATGTTATAAACAAGTACGTGGAGAGAGTAATTAACACAAAACATCCATTGAAAAGACGATTTTGCTATCCATCTCCCGTGTGATTTTTTCTATGGCATTTCAACGGCACGTATGAATGATTAGAGCGGATTTCCGAATCCGGAAAGGATCATTAGGCCCGAGCTAATTAATATTAGGCCCAGTAGAATAAAAAGCCCAAGTAAACAAAGCGACCAAGACGGCCCACGGACGAAGGAAGACCACCACATCCGCACGAAAAATCTCCGACGCCACGACGCTCTCTCGCCTCTCCCGGAATGGAAACGTTCGCGCGGTGGCGTCCACCGCCGCCGCCGGCGGCAGCTGGGCGCGTGTCCCTTCGACCGGCGTACGGGAGGCGGAGCCGGGCCGCCACGGTCTCCCCGCGCGCGTTCGGCGGCGGCGCTGACTTCGACGGCTTCGTGCGGCGGGCGTGGCGGGGCGCCAACGCCGGCGCCGAGCGGCTCGCGTTCGAGGTGCGCCAGACCGCGCAGCGCCTGGACGGGAGGTTCTCGATATCGAGGCGCCTGGCCGAGGCCGCGCGCGCCGCCCGCGCGCGCGCCGTCGAGATCGACGCCGAGCTCGGCATCGGCCGGCGGTGGCGCTCCTTCTCCGTCGACTTCTCCCGCAACTGGCCCAGGGTTCCGATCCTCTTCTCCCCCATCACCATTTAGCTTTCTCCTTATCTCATATCCTCTCTTTTAGGGGGAATTCATTAATTTGTGGCTGATTTGCCTTTTCCTGTGCAGTATAGGAGGGAGCTGACTGACTTCATGGCCACACCTATTGGGAGAGCTTTCACTGTGAGTTCTAGTAGCTTCAATTATGCCTGATAACTTGCTAAATTAGCTGTAGTTTTAGTCTTTACATTCGATTATACAGGTCTCAGCTTGTAAGTGGAATGTATTACTAGTATCTAGCTTGGTTCATGTTTGCATCTGATACACCTATTTGTATCAATTCCTATATGAGTTAGTTTGCGTTCGCGAAAAAAAATATATGAGTTGTTTATCAGAGAAAATTTATTATATGCCACTCAATTCGCAAGCCTTATCAACCGCGATGCCGCGAACAGTTAATTGGCACCTTCATCTGACTGGGGGTTGTCATGACTTTGGTGTTAATACTTTGTTGGGGAAAATGGTTGGTAGTACTAGATTCACTCTCAAGTTTTCTGCTTCTTGTATGGTATCAGTCCCTTTGAGGAATTCTGGGAGGGCATAATTTAGATTGCTTAGTAAAGTTATACCACCTAAGGTAATGACAAGATGATCGTAAGTCCTAGAAATCATGAGATGCGAAGGTGGTCCCTTTTATAGCTGCTCAAATATTTATACTTCTTTAGCATCTACAGTCTATGGTTTGAAGGAGCTAACAACATCAGAAAATAAAGCTAGAGAATTATTTTTACATTGCCAATTCATTCACATCTGACTAGATTTCTGGTGCTTGATAAAAAATACAAGATATTTATCCTATTACTCTCTCTTAGAATTTATGGATGTACGCCCTTTCATGGAGCTGTCTGTTAGCAACCTTACTGACTTAGTACAAGCAGTAGCAGTTTCTAGTACAATGGAGGTGGAACTAAGAGATACAAGCTTATAGAAGGTTCTAGAGAGAGGTAGAGGAAGTAGTACAGCCTGGTAGGAAGAAGACGCAGGGAAGGAGGGAGAGAGAGCTCGACAAGGTTCAGCCGAACCAGATCGAGCCGCCGCCTTCTGTAGTTCCCGGCTGGGCTTGGCTTGGAGAGTGGATGAATGTGCAGCCGACCTAATCCCTAAAATCCCCCTTCCTTAAAATCTGTCCTCTTCATGGGCCAAAAACCAGTAAATGCCACTGAAGCCTGTAGCATATATAAATCCTCCTTGGACCCAACTCATCCATGCATTTTTTTTTTCCTGTAACAATACCGGCATCAGGACTATTTTCATAAACCTCAATAGTTAGCTCATATTCACCTTTCTCAGTATTTTGTCCACTCCTACAGGAATTTAAGTGATGTTTAGCTGGCTGTAGGAAGTATTTCTCTTTCCTATTAACCCGTGCAGATGAATAGCAACGTGAGCACAATTCAAATAAAGAATTCCATTTCTATGCCACATGACACCCTGCTCTGCTCCAGACCAATACTTGAAACAACCAAGGATTTCAGGATGTTATTGGAATGAGCACAATAGAGAGCAGGCAAGTGAACCTGAAAGTATACTCCACACGTTGTCCAAAGCTGATAACATGATCAGGACTCCACCAGCTATACCCCAAATGAAAGGAATATGATCAAGATAACCTTATTATCACCAAAGGTCCCAAAATGTTCGCATTTTTAACTCAGTGCCATGGTGGTGATCACGATGATCATTTAGATTGTTTAGTAGAGTTCTACTGCCTAAGCTTAGCTAACCACAAGATGATCATAAGACCTTGAAAACATGAAATGTGAAGGTAAGCCCTTTATAGCTGCCTGAATATTTGTGCTTCTTTAGTATATATAGTCTATGATTTGAAGGAGCTAAAAACATTAGAAAGAAGAGAGAGATGACTCTATTTTCACATTGCCAATCCTTTCATTTGTGACTAGATTTCTGGTGCTTGAGAAAAAAATGCTAGACATTTTGCCTAGTACTCTCTGTTATCATTTTTGGATATACACCTTTGCATGTTGTCACGTCCATGAAACCATGTAATGTAGCACATACATTTTTTTTTAAGATCAAAATTGTATGCACCGTAGTTTTTAACAGCCTGTAGATACTGTATGTAGTATTATCTGCTTCAAATGATAATCAATCCCTTTCAAGAGATTTTGTGCTCACTAGCTGCTTTTTTTTTATGTAGACGATCTTTTTCATTTGGTTTGCACTGTCAGGATGGCTATTCAGAGTTTTCATTTTTGGTACATTTGTCCTGCCTTTTGCTGCGCCACTTCTCCTTGGGACATTTGGTAATCGGGTCGCCATTGAGGTAATACTCATCTTTCTGAGTTTGGTCTGTTATCCTGTGTTTATTGTACTCAGTTTTGAAATGGCCTTGGAGCCACCGGCGAGTGTGTGCTAAGACTGTTCTTTTGCTGACTAATTGTTAAGTATATTGTATGCTAAAATTAAATGGGTTTTAAGAGGCTTTAACCTGTATGCAAGTATACTGCTACTATCAGCCACATGATATGCAGCACCACTAGCACAGTGCTCTACTCTGTTGATGTTTGTGTTTACTTTGAGTTTGTTGTATATTTTTGTTTATGGTTGAAGTGGCTTTCTCTGGCTTGAAATTAATTTCCCTGATCACATAGTGATACAAGGGTATCATAATGCATCAACTTGCTCTTGTTAATCTGTTGTTCTTTGGTGTGGGGTACTACTCGTAGTCAAGCAAAACCTGGGATGCTTTCAAAATACTAGGTAGTTACTGATTTAATGTGTTTCAATTCCAGGGGACATGCCCAGCGTGCAAACGGAGGTTTGTGGGTTACCGCAACCAAGTGATTCGGTGCATGAATTGCCAAAACATAGTGTGGCAGCCAAACAATAGGTCCTCTGGACGAGCCAGCAGTTCAAGAAGCTCAGGGCCTGATGTTATTGATGTGGAGTTTGAGGAGAAGTAAGAACATGTTGTTACAACGTGCACCAGCAACTTAGGGAGGGGAAGAATGAGAAGATAGGCTGGAAGTTTGTGATATGCGGGTTTGTACGTAGTTATTCGTGCAATTGTGTGTTGTACATTATGTGTTCTTTGAAATTTGAATAAAACGAAGCTTCGCCAAATTAAAGCACTGCGCATTACTTGATATTTAGCATTCGAACAATGCTATACGTACGACCTGTATGTCCGATCAGCGTACGATCAAACGGTAAAACAACTCAATACGTGACTTAGTATGGTGGCAACATGGCTTGGTCATACGGAGATTAACGTCACGAGCTCACGGCGTTAAGGTCGTTCCAAAGTCGGACAAGTTTAGTCGTACGTATAGTATTTTTCTTAGCATTCGGCATCTATGTTGTGGTATACCCACAACCAACAGCAGTTCATACTAGTGGTGAGCAGTGGAATTGAAGTTCTGTTAAGCATGCAGTTGCTGCAAGCATGAGTCCAGTACAGAAACATGTTCATTAAAAGAACCCATATAACCATGTTAATCATAAGTGAATAGCACAATGCTAGCTTGCAAACGAGTGAGCCATCAACACACCAAGAGAAAGCAAAAAACATGTTTGTGGTCAACTGGTGATCAGTTGAGAGCTTCATCAGAAGTAGTAAATGCATCAGCTTGATGATGCATTGCCAAACATGAGATTGTTTATCTTGTCAATGCTAATATCTGATATGTCCTCGATGGGTTTCTCCTCCCCTGTTGCAGTACCACACGCCGCAGGCTCCCGGGCAAATTCATCTGGCAAAAGGCAAAAAATATCTGAACATGTACCACTAATGCAACAATGTTGGAACGGAACTACCGAAGTGAGCACAGCAAAAGTCTCACCGGAGATAGTGGCCAAGCAAAGTCGGAGCAGGAGCGAGCAGAAAGTTGGAGGCCATGTAGAGCACCATCCCCTGCGCCGCCGCTTCCAGCAGCAGCGACGGCATGGCCAGTGCCCAATGCCTGAAAGAAAACCACACCGACACCGGTGCGCACAACGCCATCGCCATGAGACTCAAATCACTCGTCCAGGCGAAGCAAACAAACAACTGAAACGTGAGGAGTATGGACTACGCTGTACCGACCTGGCGGGGTAGTAGGTGACACCGAGGAAACGCAGCCACGGCTCCGGCAGGTAAGCCCACGCGAGGTAGGCGGCGGCGGCGGCCACCGCGGCGATGGATCCCACGAAGCCGTACGCCTCCGATGAGCCGCGGGAGGGATCGGCCGTGGGGCGCCGGCCTCCGACTCTCACCGTTTGCCTGGGGCTCCGCGCCACCGCGTCCGATTGCATCTTGCAACGCCGGGATGCCTGAACTTGGAATTCGCCAAGGCAGAGGAAGATACCGAGACGGCAGGAAGACGGATTTGAAAACCGTCTGATGATCTGATGAACAGCACCAGGCTTTACCATCTGATGATCTGAATCTGATTTTAATGTAGCCCGATCTAATTAAAAAATACAAGATTTAAGAATTCGATCTTGTTCTACAGGACAAAAACCAAGAAAACCGTAGGTGACCAAACAAAAAAAAAACTTCACCAGTGCGCTTTTGCTAAAGGGTATGTGGAGGCGTGGATGAGGAAATACGTGAACGCGTTTTGCAGGATTGGAGAACGACACATTAAAATTAGTATGCCAACCGCAAATTTTCATCTTCGAATACATTGGTCCGTAAAATCCAAGGACAAAGTGTACAATCAACCAGTAGAAACCAGAAAGATCAAGAAATTGTGTTCTTGATCTCTAAAGCCTATTATGCAAAGGGGGCAGAAATTAACTTAAGACAGGCAACAACAGAAAAAGATCTCAGCAGATGCTAGCATAAGCTTTTCACTCCTGATCCAGCTCGAATGGAACTTCTTCTTGGACGTCTACCTCCTCTTCAATCTCAACTTCCTTGGTGTCGTACTCTTCCTCATCGTCACTGGCCTCCCCGTCTCTGAGCTCCATCCTGTATGGTCTCTCTTCCTCGTGCAGCTGCTTCCACTTGGCAACCCATCCTTCCCATTCCTCCTGAAGCTGCTTCCGCCTCTTGCGTTCCTGCTCGCTCAGCTGGTTGAAGGCATCCTGATCCTCTTGCTCGTACTTCTTGCTGTACTTCCTCAGGTTCTTCGCAATCTCGTCTTCCTTTTCAGGGGTCAGCAGCGACGGTGGTCTCGGACGCCACAGGAACTGTACCAGTAAATTAAAGTAAATGACAAAGGATTACAATGGTGTAAAGCAATGAGACATGAGAGTCCAGAAAAGGGTAGGATGGAACCTCCATACCTGAAAGAAGTGGTCCTTTGACACCTTGTAAAGTTGCTTGCCACTGAAAGACCATATTTGGAAACCATTCTCCATTTCATGGACTGAGGTAACTGCAGATGCAAGATATCTAACAAAAAAAAATCCCAACATCATTTTAGTTCCACTAACATACAAGGAAATCCATCTTAACTTGTTTAGTCACACCAGTGAGAAGTATTATAAAAAAATTGCAACCAAAACTCAAATATTTTAAATTCTAAGAGTTGGTTTTGAAATTTTCATTTAGAGTGAACATTTTTCGTAGGGCATATGATACTTGGTTTTTGAAAATTTGACATAATAAAGTGCCAGTGTCATGGTGAGGACTACAAATTTCCTGACCAAGTATAGGCTTACCTTCCAGTAGGATCCCACATAATGTCAGTAGCCATGAAATGTTCACCCGTTGCCATCGTCTCAAGCTCATCAACATTGTAAAACTCCAGCTGCCCATTAAAGCCCTTCAGACCAGCGAAAACAATGAATCTTCCACCAGGAGACCAGAACAATGCATTAGCCTGCTTGCCCTTGAGAGTGGTGAGCTTGGACACACGACTGATGTTGTTGGATGTTTTCATGGAGTAGAAGCTTATATCAGGCTTAGGGCCATCACCATGAATAACAGCAAAGCGGTGACCTTTGGGCTCCCATGCAAAGGCAATGATCTTATCGTTCTTGTTGTCCAATTCAAGAACCTCAATGGGTATGTCCCTTTCCTTAATTCTAAAAAGCTCAAATCCAGTGTAAGTACTCTTCTTGGTTTTTGTGTATCTATCAACCTGGACAGCAAGATATTCTCCACTGTTCTGCCAGTACATCTTGCAATCACTGACACTGAAAAGGTTTTTCTGCCGCAGCTCCTCTTTGCCAGGAATTTGCACAAGGCTCACCTTTCAATAAAAATTATAGATTTTAGTCTTCACCATTAGTTGACGGAACTTCCTCAAAAGGGATGAAGCACAGAAAATTGCACTTACCCTTGCAGGCTGGTTTCCTCCACCCAACTCAGGGACAAAAAGGGCTATGATTGGATCAGTTGGAGACCAGCAGAAGTCGACAACATTCTCAACCTTCAGAGATTTCTTATCAAGAAGGGAGAATGTTTCAGTCTCATAGACAGATATAACATTCTTCCCAAGCCTTGCAAAATATTTATCGTCTTTTCCACCACCCCATCTTCAGACACAAAAAATATAGTAAGCACCCCCAGGTACAACAACTTAACAAAGAGGTAATGCATTCAATAACAAATACAAAAACCAGTGTGTTCACCTGAAAATAGGCCATGAAACACCAGAAACACTGATATTTCCACTGGCACTGAATTCATCAGCACTTCCTTTAAAGTCGCGCATCACTTTGCCAGTCCTCACATCAAAGATATTAAGAACAACCCTCTACAACATCCAGCACAAAAGTCAGAAGGGAAAGCTATGAGCAGATAAATGAATGTAAGACGGTCCCTTACATGAGTGTCTCTAGGGTTGCTGGGCTCGTGGCTACTATATGTGACCAAATATTTCTCACCAGGGGAGAAGTCAATCAGTTTCACCTGTTACAAGCAGTGTTAGGTAGATAAAATATTACATATCTGACATAACTCAGTGCAGCGTAAATCACGTACCTGTGCATGAGCAAATCGCATTAGACGCTCAAACTTATCGTCGCCACCCCACACCTGGGAGCCCTGCCTATGCACTGTTGCCAAGTATGTTCCAAGAGGGGACCACTGAATAAAACTGTCTGTCCAGTACTAGACGAGTAAAAAAAAAGGTAAAGTGATGAGTATATTCAGTTATGCATTGGGAGTGCAGAGCACAGTTCATGACCTTAAATTTTTCAATTTCAATTCAAGAAACCCAAGGTACCTGCTTTTGGAACACAAGTTCAGGCATCTTCTGCCTTGCATCATTCCAGTAAACTTCAGTGAAAGTACCAGCACGGATAACAAATTGGTCCCGGGCCTTCTCATCAGCCAGCCATTTTTGCAAGTTCTCCTGCAAAACATGTGCAAAATCTAGGTATTAGGCAATGTCACAAAAAGGATCTTAATAATTTTCAAAATTAAAATGCTCATTAAAAAATAAACACGCTTTTGGGTGGTGTAAAGTTGAAAATGCTTACTCCAGGAGTGTATGGCTTAATTTCAGCAGGCATCCATTCGTCTGGAACTTTCATGTACTTGTCAAAGTCATCAAACATGTTAACTGCAAAGATGTGAGACTTGTCGAGCTTGTACCCATTTGTCTTTTCCCTAGCAAGCTCAGCTTCCTGACATAATGTCAAACAAAGTAATACAAACTTAAACCCTACTAGACTTAAAAATGAACATAAAAACGAAACATCCGACAGAGTCGTTCAATTTCCTATTTTTCCTCACCTGACTATAAGTAAAGATCACAATATTTCTATCTTACATCATATTAAACGATTAAAAGCTAAATGAACATGGATGAAGCAAATAATGATGGTTCAAAACAATATTTAAATGATTGGGCCCATGGCGTTCTCAAGGCATGTACTCATGTGTGATCCATGTTCAAATGGTACAGATCTGAGGGATGACTTGCAAAGACAAGAATCAAGCCATGTGTCATGCTCTAAGGGGAAAAATGCATCTGACATGTGGCAAAGTACCTGTGGGGTATTATACTCGATGAAGCAGTAACCGTATGTCTTCTTTGTCTCTGGGTTTACAGGCATCCAAAGACCACCTTCTTTGATCGCACCAATTTGACTGTAGATCTTGCGTATGACGTTCTCCAACTTCTCAAACTTCTCTGGTGGAACAACGGGCAGGTTGTCCACGACAACAACGTTAGCAAACCCCATTTCAAGCTCCATAGGGTCATCAATCCGAAGTAAATCCTCATCGTCACTGAACATTACAAATCAGTCAGCGACATAAAAGGAAAACTCAAGAAAATTTTCTGGACAAACAAAAATCGTTAAATGCAAACAATACTGGCCATGTAATTGTGAGTCAGCTTAAGCATCAGCCGCCATAAGCTACCAGATGGAACAATTTTAGTCAGATAAGAAATACAGTCATTCACACCAGTTGCATGTTTAACCTTGGTATATACAAATATATGCAATCAGTGCCTGCTATGTCACTTATAATGTTATACATAGTTAGCATACCGACACATTACGAGTTCTCATGCAGATTAACATCATGGCACATCTAAAAAACCGTATCAAAATCTCTACCAGTGGGAGCTAAAAGCATCAGATACTAGCTGCCGCGTTGATTAAGGCAGATCGAACAGTCACGCGATGCTATAATCGGATCTGAATGAAACGGAAGGGGGTGACTAGGGTATCCAGCGAAAGCGCACGACGGCGTGAGGTAGTTTTGTTGGGGCCGGATCGAGAGGCGGTGGCTACCTGAGGATGCCGAAGTCCTCGCCGGCGGGGAGGGTGACGGAGTCGAGATCGACGGTGGAGAGGTCGACCCCAAGCTCCCGCGCCCGCGCTTCGATGCCTTCCATGGAGATTTCTAGCGCCATCTTCGCCTACATAAAACCTCGAATCCTCCACGCGCGCGCGAGAAAGACAGCGACGGCCGGCGTCGTTGACTGCGGTGGCGGCGGCGAGGAGATTGCGGGGAGAGAGGCGGCGGCGGCGGCGGCGGCGGCGGCGGCGAGGGAGGCGTGGGGGTGGGAGTGTGGCCGGGATTGAGTCGGCTAGGGTTTTGAAGCGGCGCTGTGAAGGACGGTTCGGGATTCTATTGCCTTTGTGACTGACGCCGACAGGTGGGCCCAGAAGTCCAGTAGATGCGCGCGTTCTCTCTCTCTCGGGCCTCTGTGACTTTTGGGTCGGGCCATATTAAGCCCATAAGTATGGACCAGCACAAACCCAAGCCCATCGTTCATAAAATAGAAATCGGTTTTTTCTTGATCTTCAAATTTGCGAAGTTCTTCAATAAATCGTTTAAGATTTGTTATTTGGAGAAGTATGGATCTGGTTAATTTATGTAGCTTTTTTATAAAAAAAACAGTACAAACGAATACACTCACAACTACACAACTAAGTAGATGATCTACACTGAAACCTGTTAAGTAGTTCTACACCGAAGCATTATTTTTACCTCGCAATATTTGTATATAAATAAAATAGCCATTACCTCGCAACCCCATCTATCTAACATAGGAAATCAAAACCCTATTATCTATGCTCTCCATTCAACGATATGCAAGGTTCATGACTTCATTCAGATATCAAACGGACTTTCAATTAGCTATTCCGCAATTAGTTACTACCATGCGAATATGTCAATATAACAATAAATTACTACTAGAGTATGAAAAATATATATGTTTCTGTTTGATTTTTTTCATTATTAGAATTAAACCTCGATTTGATATTTCGTAAAGTGTCAAGTAAGTTGAATGCATTTAAGTCACAGGTAAACAAACACATAAGAGATTTTCGCAAAGCGAGCATAACTCATCTGATTAGATATTATTCTGTTGGTTATAGATGATATACCCCTTGACAGGGAGTCACCTGTGATGAAATCTGAAGATAAAAATATATCAATCTAGTCTTCAAATGTGTTCATAAAAATAGAGTACATTGTACTATGTTTTGAAAAAAAAAACAAAGAGGTTTCTCTAACTGACTAGATCTAACCAATAAAACTTCAGTTCAGAAAAATAAAGTCATACAGTGTACCAGTTCAAACACATTGAATTATGCTACTCCAGTATAAATAATCTCAGATCTGTGAGCTTAATAAAAGAATATTCTGGTTTTTTTTTTTGTTTTGCAGGCAGCGGTTGGAGCGGACGTGGTCGGGGAGCGACCGGCGGCACGGACCCAACCCAACCCAACCATCTCGTTCCCGCCGCGTCCTCTCTTCTTCCGCCGTGGACTCATCGTCTCCAACGCCACACGACACGACGCGACGCGACGCGACGCGAGAAAAAGTCAAAAGCAGCAGCAGCGGCGGAGCAACCAAGCCTACCTCCACCAAAATCTTCTCCCCCCCTCTCCTCTCCTCTCCACCCGCCGGTGACCCGAGCCCCCCCACCGCCTCACGCCGCCGCCGCCGCCGCCGCGGGGAGTTCCATTCCACCGGGTCGCCTTCCGGCCGTCTCCTGCAGAGAGGTATCGGTTTGGTTTCGTTTGGTTTGCTTCCTCCGATCGAGAGCTTCCTTCCTCGTCTCGAATCCAATCCGTTCTCTGTGTAGTTCTTTACTGGGCTGTGGGGATCGGGATTCCGAGTTAGCTTAGAGCTTAGCCCCCTTCTAGTTCTAGTTCTACTGTGTAGAGAGAATCTGCAACTGCCAGGTGGTTTTTTGTTGTTGCGGATCGAGTTGTGTGATGATGATTCACCGACCAAGCTATGCAGCGAGTATCCGCGATTTCTTACCTTTTGCTTGCTGAGTTGTATGGCGAAGCCCCCGATGCTTCCGCGACAGGCTGATTTTTGGTCATTTCTAGGTGGCCATTGACCTTGTAGATATGGGAACTGGTTAAATTGGTTATGCCTTGTCACGACTAAATCTCTCGCTCCTTCAGTTCAGTTGCTTTGTTTCATCATTCGATCTCCCGTGTTAGCTAGCATAATATCTGCTGATGAACTGCCTCGGGGGTTGAGAATCCATTATCAGAAAACTCTATATAGGCATTCGAAAGGGTCCCATGCCAGGTTCGATTTGAATTGGTACATACTACCTCCGTTTCACAATGTAAATCATTTTAGTATTTTCCATATTTATATTGATATTAATGAACCTAGATAGATATATATGTGTCTAGATTCATTAACATCAATATGAATGTGGGAAATGCTAGAATGACTTACATTGTGAAACGGAGGAAGTATATGCTATTTTGGAAATAGTTAACGTCATACTAATTGGTTAGGAGTCAAATAGGCATCACCAAGCACTTTTTGAATTGACTCAATGTTTCCCCTGTTTGTGCTTTTGCCATCTACTAACATATATACACTGCAAACATTTTTGGGTTATGGAAGAAACTCCCAGTCTCTGCATGTTCTGCAAATATTTCAATTCATAAATTCATTTAGAATAACTAAGTTTCCTGTAATAATTTTCTGAAATTCGTTCAAAATTGTTTCCCTGCAACAATTTCAGGTTCATGAGGGGCTCGAGGATGAATCCAGGTGACCGTAGAACGCGGAGCACGATGTCCATCGTAATTGTGATGAGTTTGTGCTGCTTCTTTTATATACTAGGAGCTTGGCAGAAAAGTGGGACCGGAAGGGGGGATAGTATTGCATTGAGGGTGACAAAAGAGACCGACTGTACAATCTTGCCAAACTTGCACTTTGAGACCCATCATAGCTTAGGTGGTGTTAATCCTTTGGTCATGACCGATAAAGTCTTTGAGCCATGCCATATTCGATACAGTGACTATACTCCTTGTCAGGATCAGAACCGAGCAATGAACTTTCCTAGAGAAAATATGAACTACCGAGAGAGGCATTGTCCTACAGAGACTAAGAAACTGCGCTGTCTAATCCCAGCACCCAAAGGCTATGTCACCCCTTTTCCTTGGCCCAAGAGCCGTGACTATGTTCCATATGCAAATGCACCATATAAGAATTTGACAGTTGAGAAGGCTGTTCAGAACTGGGTCCAGTTTGAGGGAGATGTGTTTAGATTTCCAGGAGGGGGGACAATGTTTCCCAATGGAGCAAATGCCTACATTGATGAGCTTGCATCCGTCATTCCATTTACTGATGGCACCATTAGGACTGCACTTGATACTGGATGCGGGGTATGTCATCTAAACAGATCCTATCATTCTTGAACATGTATAAACATTGAGCAGCTACTTTTAGCCTCTCTGTTAGCGTCTTTTTAGTTGCTTCTTTCCTTAATTTATGATGTACCTCATAGCAGTAATTCATGAAATATTAGTGCATCTTAGCCCAATTTCTCTGAACTTTCATGTGTATAATTAGGCCATTTAGTTTCATTGACCTTATGTTAGTATTTTCTTGATCACCTGTTGTAGCTGCAATAACAATTTAAGCCACTTGTAGGTTGCCAGCTGGGGTGCTTACCTAATGGACAGAAATGTATTAACCATGTCATTTGCACCTCGAGACTCACATGAAGCTCAGGTTCAATTTGCATTGGAGCGAGGTGTTCCTGCAGTAATTGGAGTGCTTGGAACTATAAAACTACCATACCCCTCTGGATCTTTTGATATGGCCCATTGCTCACGCTGCTTAATCTCCTGGAAGTCAAATGGTTAGTAGTGTCAACTGTGCATACAAAATGTAGTGCCTCTATCAGCTGTTCTTTTTTGCATATGCTATATTATTTCGCTTCATGCAGATGCGATGTACATGTTTGAAGTAGATCGGGTTCTGAGGCCTGGTGGCTATTGGATATTGTCTGGTCCTCCCATCAATTGGAAGACAAATCACCAAGCATGGAAAAGATCCAAGGAAGACTTAGAGGCAGAACAAAATGTAATCGAAAAAATTGCTGAAATGTTGTGCTGGGGTAAGATTCATGAGAAGGGAGATACTGTTATTTGGCGCAAAAAGGCAGATTCAAATGAATGTCATAATAAGGATGACCATCCTAGCAAGATGTGCAAAATTCAAGATGCAGATGATGTCTGGTGTGTTCTCTATGTATCTAGTTCTACTATATGCGTGCTGTTAACCTCTAACATGCCATATCAACTCGACTAAGTTATAATCGCCATAATTCCAAAATCCTTGTTATACAAGAAAAACAGCTAGCTTTTTCATATACCACTAGATTATAGGATTTGTAGGTGATTGCCCTTACTCCTTGTCAGGGGCAACTTATTACAGTGATCGCTGCTGATATATGCAAATGCTCTCTTAATGGTGGAATCAAGAATAGATGCTTATCTGAAGATTTCTATTTCTGACAGTATTTATATGTTGTTTCATTAATGATTTTTTATATGGTTTATTGTTATAGGTATAAGAAAATGGAAGGTTGTATAACACCTTTCCCGGAAGAAGCACAGCTACGGAAATTCCCAGAGAGACTATTTGCTGCCCCTCCCAGAATTCTACAGGGTCGCACCCCAGGTGTTACAGAAGAAATTTTTGAGGAGGATAATAAGTTGTGGAAGAAGTATGTCAGTACTTACAAGAGGATAAACAAGCTGATAGGTTCTTTGAGGTATAGGAATATTATGGACATGAACGCAGGGCTTGGAAGTTTTGCGGCAATTATTGATTCTCCAATATCTTGGGTAATGAATGTTGTGCCCACAATATCTGAGAAGAACACTCTTGGTATCATTTACGAGCGAGGTCTTATTGGCATATACCATGATTGGTAAGTCTTTAAGCTAGATGTCCTGGCACTTGGTTTAAAAAGGGATGCCAATGTGTTGAAACTGTTCCTGGTTACTCTGACATTGCATTGTTGTCAGGTGTGAAGCCTTCTCTACATATCCTAGGACATACGACTTGATACATGCCAATGGTCTCTTCAGCTTATACCAGAATAAGTATGTGCTCTTTCTCCTGTATTGGTAACACAATGCAAACTATCTGGTCCATTGATATGAGTAATAAGTATGTGGTCTTTCTCGTCTTGGTAACATGATGCAAACTATCCAGTCTTTTGATATAAGCTTTTCAAATTTGCTAGGTGCAACATGGAAGACATTCTTCTGGAGATGGATAGGATTTTACGTCCTGAGGGCGCAGTCATACTGCGGGACAATGTTGAGGTGCTGAACAAGGTTAGGAGGACAGTGATGGGGATGCGGTGGAAATCCAAGTTGCTTGATCATGAAGATGGGCCTCATATACCTGAGAAGATTTTGGTTTCAGTGAAAAAGTATTGGGTTGGCAATGAAGAAGAAAACAGTTCATAGATACCCTTTTTTTATGTTGTACCTGTTCATAGATCCGGTTCATACTTCATAGGTACAGGCCTCACCATTCCCAATCAAGATGACATACAGGTAGAGTATTTTTTATGTCCTGCATATTGGTTGTGCATATACAGAAGCAGGGCATTAAGGGCAAACGTTGGTGATTTGCCAACACATTTTGTAGGTAAAGAGGAAGATAGTTTGTGCTGAGATGAACGTACCCATTGTATTACAGATCCACACAGGAACATTTTCCGAGTGAACAAGTGTTGCCCCATGTATTTTGTTTGTGCTGCTTGTACAACATGGAACATTAGCAGTACATGTACAAGTAACAAGGAGACAAGGAGTTGTACACACCACATATCTACTATCACCTACCTAGGTTTCTCCTCACCTACAGCTGATAAGATGTTGTTTGGTCACAGGGGCGACGCTACAGCCTGGTCACACATATGATGGATTAGATATAGTGTACTTTAGTGAAGTCGGTCAAGCCTCCGGGATGGACCCGTAGAGGTAGCAACAATTCTGAATTCTGCTCGACGGAGTTTATAACAGCACATTTGCCCTTGCTGCTCGATTTGACTATATAGCTTTGTTCAGTAGTTCTGTTCGATGGAGGAGCTCTCACTTGCCGGAGTGGGCCCTGCCGCCGGAGTTGGGTGCACGCCAGAACGAAAGGAGCGGTGACACAGACGAACTGATCGTACTATTAAGAAAAAGAAAAGTAAATGTTAAAATTACCCTTAACCTTTAATTAGTAAAATACTAATGTACCCTTATAAATTAACGGCTCAGATTACTTCTACCGGTAGTGCTAGTAGAATATTATAGGTAGAGAGCACCGTAACGGTGCTCTAAAATGATCTATGGATTTTGTATAAACTTGTGTGGACTCTGTCTATTGTTAGGCTTGTCCCACTCATAAAAATTTCGAATATGGGTCTGCCCACTGTTTTTTTAATACGTAAGGAGCGCATCTTTACATTAAAAATGAGCAAAAGTTATTTACAAGGGTAACCTAAGAAAATAAAAGAAGACGGAGACATGATACAGGAAAGACCAAAGATCAAAAGCCTATTCTCTACGACTGAATTTGCGACCCCGTTCCAACTACAGGAACAACCAAGGCGGGAATCGCTGCCCTAGCTAGCCACCACAGCTCGGCTTCATTTGTCATGACCCTCGCAATCTCTGTCCAAGATCGAGTTTCCTGATTGAAGATTTTATTGTTTCTCTTCTTCGAAATCGTCCATGCTACTAGGGCCGTAATGGTGTCGAACCTTCGACGGTGCGCCTTGATCACTTTCTTTCGGGCATCACAAAGCCACAAGTGGAAATAAGCCTCATTGTGGGGCAAACAAACTGCATACCCAATTGCTTGAAGTGCAGTCCACCAAAGTTGTCGGGACTCCGGACATGCGACCAAGAGGTGATCTATCATTTCATCACATTGATCGCAAAGGACACAACGGTCAGGATGCGATAGCCCACGGTTCCAAAGTCGATCCGCTGTCCAACACCTATTAAGAGTAACCAACCAAAGAAAGTAATGACACCTGGGAGGGAGAGGGGCAAGGATTTCCAGATTGGTTTGTATAGGAAGCGACTTCTTCCCAAGAACATAACTTGATATGCCGAGCGAGAAGAATACTCACCTAAGGACTCCCATCTCCAAGACAATGAGTCAGGCTCATCTGAGAGCTGCACCGATCTGAGTGTCATCCAAAGGTTGATGTACTCCAAAATTGCTTGGACACCCAGTGCGGTAGAAATGTCCCGTATCCAACGCCTGTCGTGGAGCGCCTCGGCCACAGTTCAACGACTCCACAAACGCGCAGGGACAATAGCATAAACCGCTGGCGCCAAAGAGCGTATCGATGTTCCATCTATCTAGTAGTCCTCCCAGAACAACGTCGTATTCCCATCTCCCACCGAAATCAAAGTGGAAACTGCGACCAGATTCTTTTCTTTCTGGGAGATTGGGATATTAAGCCCCTGCCATCGTTTATCCGGCGATGTTCTCTGCTGCCATTTACAGCATAGCCAGCGAGATCTTAGTGCAATGCCCAATTTTCCAAATCCTGGATCCCTAATCCGCCTGTATGGCTGATTACTCAACATTCCACGAAGATGAGGCATTGCATATCGTGGAAAAAAATGACCACTATATTGGCCAGTGCCTAATTTGTCCTAAAAGGAGCGCATTGACCCCTGGTAAACGATAGCGAACTGCACTACGTACCCTGCCTTGCTAAGTTAGCTGTCTCTATAAATTCTGAAAACCCAACAGCTAGCTCGTACACAACAAACAAACCAAGAGCTAAAATTTCAGTCAGTGATGATGAGGAAGCAAAGCCGCTCTCCTTGTTCATCTTCTTCTTCTGCTGCTGTTGTGTCCCTCTGCAAGGTGCTCCTGTTGGTCCTGGCTCTCATCTGCACCCTGGAAACTGTCTCAGTAGAAGGAGGTAAATACTTCCTCTGTCTCACAAAAAATAACTACAATACACGAATCTGAACAAACATTCATCCAATCCAAGTTTACCCTCAGAAATTGGCTTTTATGGGACAGAAGATGCACATATTTAAACTCATAATCATTGAGAGTTAATCAATTACTCTCTCTGGTTATGTTTTGGATAAGATTGTAGTCAAACTTTTATAACTTTAATTATCAAAATTTTAAAAGTATTTAGTTTAAAAGAACTAGACCAACATATATGTATTTGTCGTTCAAAGTTCTATAATAAAAATAAACATGTATTTATTTATTCTATATATTATAATAGAAAAACAAGATCAAAGATATATTTTGAAGACTGTGTTATTGTCTAAAACGTCAAGAATTATAAAACCGAAGGAAGTACTAAGGCTGTGTTGGAGGAGGAGATAGAGAAGATTGAGAAGATACGTAAAACGAGGTGAGCCATTTAGCACATGATTAATTAAATATTAGCTATTTTAAACTTTAAAAATGGATTAATATGATTTTCTAAAGCAACTTTTCTGTAAAAACTTTTTGCAAAAAATACACCGTTTAGTAGTTTGGGAAGCGTGCGTACGGAAAACGAAACAAACAATCTCCCTATCACCCCAGAACGAACGCAGCCTAAGTTACTTGGTTGGTTAACTAAATTTGGTATCTGGATGGATGCAGGGAGAGTGGCAGCAGCAGCATTAGTTGGTGGGGGCGTACCACTGAATCCACGGTACCCGGCGATTCCTGAAGAACCTTACATAGGCCGGAGAGGCGATCCGTACACAGGTCGGGGAGGCGAACCTTACACACGCCCGGGACGGGGATGCACCGTTGCATACGGATGCTATGGAGGTCCTCCAGCTGCCAAACCATGACGATCGACATACTACTCTGCTACTGCTACTGCATGCTCGCTTGTTATTTCGATCGATCAATCTCATGGCCTGCGTAGCTCACCACATAAACAAATAAAAACTATGCATCTAATAATTAACCCCTGATCTATCGATCGATCAGTAGACGGGTATGCATCAATCGGCATCAGCAGCATATGCGATGTGAATTGTGATGTATGCATGGTGTATTTTTGTGGTAAATAAAGTGAAGCAGATATCTATCTAGTATATACACATCGTTCCTGCTTCTATGTTGCCTGCGAATTACATCCCCTTTTGATGTTGTACCTGTTCATAGGTCTAGTTCATACTACTTCATAGGTACAGACCTCACCATTCCAATCAAGATGACATACAGAGATTATTTTTGATGTCCTGCATATTGGTTGTGCAAGCAGGGCGTTAAGGGAAACATTGGCGATTTGCCAACACATTTTGTAGGTAAAGAAGAGAATACTACTTGGGTCGTCAGTTTGTGCTGAGATGAACTCAATGTATTACAAATAAATTTCAGAAAACTACAACTATAGTAACAAAACTATCAGTTTGCTGCAACATTAGTTATCTATTTCAGTTTGCTGCAATAATAGCGTGAGAAATTATCACAAAACTACAACTTTTACGTGATATGTTACTATAGGACATGTAGGTGACAACAGTACCAGCATATCACGTAAAAGTTACAGTTTTATGATAATTTCCCACGCTATTGTTGCAGCAAACTGAAATAGATCACTAATGTTGTAGCAAACTGATAGTTTTGTTATTATAGTTACAGTTTTCTGAAATTTACTCATGTATTACAGATCACATAGGAACATTTTCTAAGTAAACAAGTGTTTGTCCCATGTATTATGCTTGTGCTGCATATACATGAGTACATCATGGAACAAGGAGCCAGGAAGTTGTACACAACACATACTACTCCACTGTTTACTACAGGAATTATTTTTATTTTTTAACCTTTTAAATTTTTAATTTTAAAAATAAACCCTTTCAAAACTTATTTACAAAATCTGAACCAAAACAATATTGATAAGTCGCATGCAATGGGTACGACAGTTTTGTCCCGCTAAACCAACGAGAGCGGCGTGACCAAATAACGTTGCCATGTTAGCGAGATCGACGTGGCCAAATAACGCTGTCACGTCAACGAGACTGGCGTGACAGTATTGTTTTACCACGCCAGCTAAATACCACTCTAGTTTGACTAGCGTGAACAATAGATACATATCTTGAAAAATAAATTTTGAAAGGCCTTATTGTTTGGCCAATCTATATGTGCATGGTTGCAGATTTGGTGAGCTCAAGCCTTTCGCTAGTCGCTATCACATCCGTCGCGATTGCCACACTCAAGACCCTGCATTGTCCAAGACCGACTCAGTGGCCTAGAATTAGAACATAAATTTTTATTCCATCCAGGGATTGGTTGATTTCTCTTGCTGCCTAACCGGTGAGTTCTCTCTCTCATGAATCCCTTTCCCTTCGTATCTTTGCTTGTTTGCATAATGCAGAAGCAGCAGGGAGGAAGAGGGAGAAGCAGAAGAAATAGAAATAGTAAGAAGTGATCGAGAACATAATGGCAGGTAATTTTTTATACAACGTATGATTGATTGTATTTTTTTTTTGTTTTGGAATGTAAACATCCGAGTTATATCTCATATTTGTTCTTTGGAACTCCTTCTTTACCATGTTTGTAATTATGCATATTTTGTAGTTTGCTAATATTCAAGTTGATTTTGGGTAGTTCGTTCAGAAAAAAGTTTATACAAAATATCTTCTTATTATAAGCAATATGCTATATGTGTGGTAGATATTTTTGTTGTCTTTGTCTTTAAGAAAACTGGCCAATTAATAAGATATTAATGCTATATGTGTGTGATAATTTGAACAAATTTTATATATGTATACTAAGTTTGGGTGTTATGAAATTTTAAAGGCCTGAAGTAGGACCATCCAACGAAAAATTTGTAAAGCCGCCACTACAAGTAGCAGCACCATTATTCCTGCTGGCTAGTGTGTCCATTTGACGCTGGTAAAGTCAATTCGTCAAGATTATTTTAACTCTTTTGAAGGAAAGATAAAAGCTTTGCCTTATATATTGTCAAGATTCTTTTAACATCCACTAATCCATGATATATCCAGTTATCCACCATGATTGATTGCTCCATGCACACACATTGAGACACGCCGAGAATGGGTGGTGGGTGGCCTGTGAGTGGCTACCGGCTAGTGCCAAATTGGCCGTGGAAGGAGGAGCTACGCCGCCGCGCGCACAATTTCTTTCTAAAAAAAAGTTTGAATGCACTTTTCTTTCTCAAAATCTCGTTTTCCAAAATAAAACTATTTCTTCATATGTTTCATTCTCTTAACTAATCACAATCATTTTCTATTTTGATTTCATCATCTACTATCTTTTCTCAATTAATCATAATATATCTTTAAGTATTTTGGTCTACTTTTTAAATATCTGTGTCCATCTAAAAATGGTTGGTTAGGGACGGAGAAAGTAAAGGATACAACAGCAAATTGCACTCCCCAGCACTGCAGGCGCTATAAGTTGTGATGAGCACCAAACCAAGAGGTAAGGTTCAACAAGTTCGACCAGTGAGACGAAGAAACTGAAGATGAGGAAGCAACGGGGATCTTCTTCTGCTGTCTCCATTTGGAAGGCGCTCCTGATTCTCCTGGCTCTCATCTGCGCCCTGCGCCCAGCTCAAGGAGGTAAATAGTTAAAGACTGTAGATCACTCACTAGACAGTGTTGTGTTGGTAATTAATTAACCGAATAAATCAATGGACTATACATATATATGCTGGATATATTTATGCAGGGAGAGGTGTGTCCGTGGGATATCCAGGTCCTCGTTCCAACAAGGCCAGCAGTTACTCCAGGGGCGGCGTGGGATGCAGCAGTATCGACGAGTGCGACGCCCCTCCAGCTCCAGGTGAAGAAGTCTTACCATGACAGTCTGCTCTCCAAGAGTCTGTTTGACGCCATTTTCAGTTTCAGTTCTTTCTTTTCAAAAGCTGGAGTCCAGTTAAACAGTTCCAACTCAAATTAAAATAAGAGCAAAGCTGAATGGAACGCTCTCACAAAATAAAAAAGATAGAGGCTAGATTTATGCTGCTCCACAGCCCTACTTAAGACCTAACTCGATCTTAGAAACTGTACTTCGGCTCCTTTGCTTGTTCGCCTTCTCCGTGATGGCATCATTCGACCCTGGTCTTGAATTTGAAGTTTCATTATTCTTACTTTCTTATCTGTATAAATCGAGAGGCAGACAAATATTAGATTTCTATTGGGCGTTGTCCATGTCCATGTTTGACAAGAGTTGTATGACAGTGATCTTAAATTAATCTTCAACGACGCACTGGCTGCCAAGAGTTTTAACCATACACGTTAATTATCACTATTATTATTCAGTAAAAAACCTTGAACTAATCTCGATGCTTGATATCTTTCCAAGGACTATGAATGGTCAACTACAACTTTGTATACTACTCCCTCCATCCCATAATAAGAGGTATGGTCAAACTTGACATAATCTTCAAAACTAATCTTTGACTTAAAATTTCTCATATACTATAAGGTTTATTGCAACAAATTTATAATCACATTAAAGTAAATTTAAATGTCAATCCAATGATATAAATTTTAACAAATAAAATTCATTTTATTTTATAATAATTGTTGATCAAATGTTTTTAAAGTTGAATATTGAAATATGTGCACACCTTATATTATGGGATAGGGGGAGGAGTACATTTCCTCTGTATACCTATGACAATGGAATCTGTTTGGAATGTGGAGTGTGATTATCTAAGAGCATGCATGTATGATAAGATCATGTAAACGGGCTATAGAAGACGTCACATCGGATTTGTACTGAATTGAAATTAAGAGAGAAGAGGACAGAAAAAAAAAGCAAGCTACATATATGTAACCAGTTGTAACACGAACTTCAAAAAACTATGAGTTTTTTTTAACGAACCGGCACTTAGAATGTGCCAATTTCATTGAATATGGCAAAAAAAAAAAGCTGTACAAGAGTAGCTCTATACAGGTTTAAAAGAAAAAAGAAGACTCTAAGGCACTATGTTACATAGTCCATTCGGTGCTGCCATGGCCCAAATCTGTGCCTCCTCTTTGATCTTTGCAACCAAGTATGTTGCCGATAGTTTTTTTTTGTCTTAACTGATTTCGCTCCTTCCAAATCTCCCATGACGCTAGGAGAATAAGGCTACGCAACACTTTCTTTGGCACCCCTGGGGTAGAGGCAAGATCCGTCCGTTACTCATATCATGGACCATCGTAGGATTGTTCCAATTAGATAGCTGAATTTGCTTGTGGGAGATCTTTGTGAGGTTAAGGATAATAATAGAATAAGCATCTTACTATTAGTATCTTCCACGTCATCTCTACAGGAGAAGGCTTAAAAGACAAAATTTACAGTAAAATATACCGTAAAGTTGTTCTTTTTTTTTGAGAACTCTATAAGAGCGGGTACAATAGCAGACTATTAACCAGCTACAAACATATTTTAATGAGATAAAAGATGAGAGAGAAGAGCAGCGGGCTATAGATTTGTAGCCAGCTGCAGCGCGGACTCCAAGACGCAATGTGTATATGACAGGTGGGACCATATATTATAGTATAGTAAGCAAATATTGTATAAATTAGCTATTAGATTGGCTATAAATGAATTGGAGCTAGTAGTGGGCTATACTATTAACCTTGCTCTAAGTTGTCTGAATGCCATCTCCTCCTAAGCATAATGCATTTAACGCTTAAAAGTATATGTGAATTTATGCTGGACCACATGTAAATATTATTTTTTTAACTATATGGAGAGATCCAAGTATTAATAATGTATTATAAATATATAGTTAACTATTGTATAGGTGCACCACTGGTATATTGACTGTAGTATTAGGGCTGCTCTAATACCATATATCTATGGTTGATTACTCGACAGTATGGCTAGTTCCCAACACGTACGCTTGCAAGAGCTAGTTCCCAACATTCCCCTCTCATTTTCCACACGTATACTTTTCAAATTGCTAAACGGTGCGTTTTTTTACAAAAAATTTCTATACAAAAATTATTAAAAAAAATCATATTGATCTATTTTTGAAAAAAATGGCTAATACTTAATTAATCTCACGCTAATAGACCGCTCCGTTTTCCGTGCATAGGAGATGGTTTCTATCAGAGCAGGTATAATAGCAGGCTATTAGCTAGCTGTAAACATATTTTAATGAGATAAAAGATGAGAGAGAAGAGCAGCGGGCTACAAATCTATAGCCAGCTGCAGCGCGGATTCCAATACGCAATGTGTGTATGACAGGTGGGACCATATAATATTAATATATTTATAGTATAGTAAGCAACTATTATATAAATTAGCTATTAGATTGGTTGTAGATGAATTGGAGCCAGTAATGGGCTATACTATTAAACTTCCGAACACAGCCAGTGCAGTGGCGAAGGCCGGACGACCGTGGATAGTTGACCGGCCGGCACATTCATTGGGATTAAGACAAAATTACCTTGCTTAATCAGTGTTTGAGCCGTATGAGCAGCACAACAGTAGTAGTACTGTATAGTACTAGCAACTTAATTAACATGTTTCACACAAACTAGTAACGCAAATGCTCACGTCGAGATGATCTATATATGGATCTGTATAAAACTTTACCTATTGCTAGTCTTGCCTAGGTTCGTAAAAATTTCTGGATCCAGCGATGGAATTCACCGGGCGATATTACTCCACGTACAGTCCACAGAGATATGATGAGACATTGCATGTCGTGGAAAAAATGACGACTTTAATTGTTGGCCAGGTGCCTAATTAGTCCAGGGAAGAAAGAGTGTCATTGACCCCTGGTCAACGATAGCGAACTGCATGCACTACCCAACCGACTGGCTCTATAAATTGTGAAAACCCAACAGCCGAGAAGCAAACAAACACCAGCAAGCAAAGAGGTGCAATATATTTGAGGGAGAGATCAGAAAAAGAATTAAGGTAGAGATAATAAGATAGTAATGAGGACGCAACGCAGCTACCTTTGCAAGGTGCTCCTGATGGTCCTCGCCCTCATCTGCACCCTGCACACTGCCTCGGTACAAGGAGGTAAATACACTTATAATCAGGGTTCACCTTATCTTTTTTTTCCTCCCGCGGTAACCACGTGGTTACCGTGAAAACCGTGCGGTATAACCGCAAGACATATCGTGGTTTCAAAAACTGAAAAGACTACCGTGCATGATAAATGCGATAATCCTGCTTATAATTATTGAGATAGTTAAGCCTGGTTGGTTGACTTAATTTGTAATATGTGTTGTACGATGTGATTGATGGAAGCAGGGAGAGCAGGAGCAGCAGATGCAATTGGTAGGAACGGAGCGCTGAATCCACCACGGTACCCGGTGCCCAGGATTCCCGGCGAACCTTACACACGCCCGGGACGGGGATGCACCGTTGCATACGGATGCTATGGAGGTCCTCCAGCTGCCAAACCATGACGATCGACACACTACTCTGCTACTGCTACTGCATGTTCACTTGTTATTTCGATCGATCAATCTCATGGCCTGCGTAGCTTAATTACTCTCTCCATTTCAAAATGTTTGACACCGTTGACTTCTTATAACAAGTTTGACCGTTTATCTTATTAAAAAAATTTATGAAATATGTAAAACTATATATGTACATAAAAGTATATTTAACAATAAATCAAATAATATGAAAAAAAAATAATTACATAGATTTTTGGAATAAGACGAATGGTCAAACACGTCCTAAAAAGTCAACGGTGTCAAATATTTTAAAACGGAGGGAGTACTACATAAACAAATAAAACTAGGCATCTGATTAACACATTATCTATCAATCGATCGATCAGTAGACGGGTATGCAGCAATCAGCATCAGCAGCATATGCGATGTGAATTGTGATGTATGCAACGGTGTATTTTTGCGGTAAATAAAGTGAAGCGGATATCTATCTATATACACATCGTTCCTGCATCCATGTTGCATTAATTGTTGCCTGCTGCTAGTACTACACATTGACAGCTGATTATTCTTTCATCTTTTCTTTGTGTAATCGAGAGGCAGACAGTCTTAAATCAATCTGGGAGGACGACGCACTGCAAAGAGTTTTGATCAGAGATGTTACTTACTATCAACGTCACCCCGATACGGCAGCTGACCCTCGTATCAGTATCTGATACGCGCCCGGATACGGATACGTGCGGGATACGGCCGGATACGTATCCCATATGTATCCCTCATTTTTCTCTTTTTCAGATAATTAAAAAAAATACCGATACTCCTCCGATACGGCGGGATACGTACATGATATGGGGAGCCCTAAATCACACAGAACAAAACGCATCTCCCGTTCTTCCCCTCCAAACGCGCCGCCGCTCGCAAAACCCAATCCCCATCGCAGCGCCGCCCGGCCGCCCCGACCACGCCGTCGCTGCGTCGCCTCGCCGCCGGCCCGCCCTACGCCGTCGCTGCGCCGCCTCGCCGACGCCACGCCGCGGCCTACAGCCTTCTCCGCGCCCCCTCCTCTGCACTGTCCTCCAGGAGCTCCAGACTCCTCCACGAGGCGTCACGCCGCTGCCTCTTATCAATCCTGCATCACCTCCGACGACGACGACGTTGAGAACTTGAGGTAAATCCTGCATCATCTACTATGTGAACAATGTTGTCTAATGTCTACCATCTATTTGAAGAACTATGTTATTTTCATGATTTCATCTACTGTGTAAGTCTTGCACTTATTTATGTATGCCTCTTCAATAAATGGTGACTTGGTGAGATGCTGTGAGCCTGTGAATCTGTCGTACTGAGATATCATATATGCATTGGTGGATTGATGCTGTTTGCTTCCTATTTTTTCAGTCCATATTCCACACTCAATTTTTTTAAATTATATATATATATATATATATATATATATATATATATATATATATATATATATATATATATATATATATATTCGTGTATCCCCGTATCCATGTTTTTGGGAAGATGGTGTATCCCGGTATCGCCGTATCGCGTATCCGTATCCGTATCAGCGTATCGGGGTAACGTAGCTTACTATCATAATACTCCCTCCGTTTCAAAATATTTGACACCGTTGACTTTTTAGCATATGTTTGACCGTTCGTCTTATTAAAAATAATTTGTGAAATATATAAAACTATACGTGTACATGAAAGCATATTTAACAATAAATCAAATGATATGAAAAAAATTAATAATTACTTAAAGTTTTTGAATAAGACGAATGATCAAATACGTAATTAGAAAGTCAACGGTATCAAACATTTTAAAACGGGGGGAGTAATTCAGTAAAAACACGTAGAAATCATGCATCTCGATGCTTGAAATCGTTCCAATCTCTACGAAATAATCAACTGCAAACATCTCCGTGCCGTCGGTGTCTCTGCAACCACTACCAGATTCATGTGCGGATCTGACGGATTGATCACGCCGGCATCTCGCCCTGAGAAAAAGGAAGGGTCGGGGAAGAAATCTCCGACCCCAACAGCCACGGCCCACACGATTTGGCCCACGGGATCCCTTAGAATGCTGGGCTGCTGCTCGGATGTGGGCCGAAAACTAAGGGCCCTTTTGGTTAGTTTGATGTGGGCCCATTTTTATCTGGTCAATTCACGGAAGCATTAGCCTACCAGCTTCTTCATCAGCAAAACTGGTCCTTCTACATGTCAAAAAAATAAAAATAAAAACGGGTCCTAATTTCGTTCGGCCATTTCTACATTTGTGATTTTTGCATACCCATTTCTCTACTACTATAAAAACACAATATGTTGCTAAGTTCTCGATTTTTTTTGGAGAGGCCTACGCATCGGATGTCCAGAGATTGCAAATCTCTCGACGATGTTGCACTATATGTTGATGAAGAAATGTTGCAATTTTTCATTGCTAAAAAAAAGTTTCAACACGAATTTTTTCTTAATGTTTCATCTTTCACTGAAGAATATTTCATCGCTTTATCGAAGATGTTTCAATCGAATGTAATACTCAAGAATGTTGACTGCAACAACAAAAACCCAATACGTGCAACATTCAAAGAAACCAAATGCAACATCTAGTACTGATTTAAGAAACATCTAGAAAAGACGGAGTGCAACATCACAAACACACTATGTGCAAAAAAAAAAAACATATGGTGTGCAACAATCCTCGACGTTGCCATAAACCTCTTCACCTTCGCCAGTGAGCTCAGGGCCCTCTCAGGCGATGGCGTCTCAAACTCCGTCCTACGTGCCACCTCCTCGCGGCCGTGCCGCTGCTTCCGGCGAGCTCGGGGCCCTAACCGGTGATGGCTGAATCTCCGCGCGATGTAGGTACCGCCGCTGCTGAGCTTTGTCGTCTTCAACAATAACTGCACATCCTCCTCGTGGTGCCGCCGCCGGCGAGCTTGGGATTCTCTCCGGCCATGGTGCCTTCTACTCTACCCGCACACACCTCTCCTCCCAAAGCCACCACTATCGCGGCTTTCTCCGGCGATGGCATCTTCCTTCGGTCCTGAGGACTTGGCCACTTTTGGTCGTTGCTAGGTGAGAGAGAAGGGGAATGGTGGAGAGAAGAAGACAGGGAAATGGGGAAAGTGAGCATGGAGAAAAGATGGGGAATAGCGCATCCGATGCCTGCGTTAGCGTCCAATGCTTGATCTAAAGCGTCTTCAGATCTTTTCTCCTTGTGAGTTCTAACACGCGGAACAGGCCTACGGCCTTCAGCTTTGGAGGAGCGGGGGCGAGGGGGGGTTCGGAGAATAAATCTCCGACCCCAATTGGACCAGATTAACATAGGCATGGGCGTGATGAGCCACCCGTAAGAGGTTGGGCTCCACGCAGTTACAGCTCTGACCACCAATTAGGCCTAATTAACACTCATAAACAAATTCCTAGTGATGGGCTGTGAAGTCGGTGAATCCTCTGCAGATGGGCCTTACCAATGGAAGTAGCAAAGGCGCCTTCCTGAGGGTCGTGGTAAAGCTTGCAGTTAGTTTTGCGCTATATACTTGTCGATATTTTTTTTCTATAAATTTGACGTATATAAATATAGTACAATCATATAGTGTAGTTATATTGTAACTTCCATATATCCACCCATGTAATTTGCATGCAACTACAATGTAATTTTGAATTGTTCTATTTGCTTTAAAATTCATGCAAGGGAGATAGAAAAGAAAATCACAACCTACGTACAAGTGAGGAGATTTGGTACCATTACCTCCGTATATTTTTATTAAAGAGAATAGTTAAAAGACGAGAGGAAATGCCTAATTAAGACAAAAAGAATACCGTTTTTATTAAAGAGAATAGTTAAAAGACGAGAGGAAATGCCTAATTAAGACAAAAAGAAGACCTTTTTATTAAAGAGAATAGTTAAAAGACGAGAGGAAATGCCTAATTAAGACAAAACGAAGACCGACCGAGCAAAAGAAGATAAAAGGAAAGACTAAATCTAGCGATACAGGATTAAAGATGACATAGCGACCTAGTTATGATACTGGGAATGAAACATGGCACATGTAATATCTTGTAGCACCTAGCTACCGGCTACCGGTATATGCATGCTGTTGAGCTAGTCGCTCCTTATTTTTGTACATAATGGATGTTGAGCTAGTAGCTGGTAAATACTACTCCCTCCGTTTTAAAATGTTTGACACCGTTGACTTTTTAGCACATATTTAACCGTTCGTCTTATTAAAAAAATTATAAAATATGTAAAACTATATGTGTACATGAAAGTATATTTAACAATGAATCAAATGATATGAAAAGAATAAATAATTACTTAAATTTTTTGAATAAGATGAATGGTCAAACACGTACTTAAAAAGTCAACTGTGTCAAACATTTTGAAACGGAGGGAGTACTTGTCTTGTCTCTATGGTGCATGGAGTAGATATATAGTGGATTAATTATTTAAGTATAATCAATTCGGTCAAGCCCTCCAGGATAGAACAATTGGACTACCAACAAATTCGATCTGGTGTCATCCTGATTGAGTCGTGTCTGCGATTTATAAGTTGCTCTTTATCCTTTAATTAACCATCGCTGATTAATTACTCTTATTATATACTCCACCCGTCCCTAAATATTTAATGCCGTTGTCTTTTTTAAACATATTTAACTGTTCATTTTATTCAAAAACTTTTGCGAAATATGTGAAACTATATATATACATAAAAGTATATTTAAAAATAAATCAAATGATATGAAAAGAATTAATAATTACTTAAATTTTTAAATAAAACGAATAATTAAACATATTTAAAAAGGTTAACGGCGTCAAATATTTAGGGATGAGAGTATATTAGATGAGACGTTCCATGCATGTCGTGGAAAAGACCAAGACTTTGCTCTGGCCAGTGCCAAATTGGGCCCGGGAGAAATTAGAGGTCCATTGACTCGTGGTAAACGATAGCGAACTGCACTGCACTACACTACACTCTGCCTGCCTCCAGGCTCTATAAATTCCGAAAACCCAACAGCCTGTAGAGAAGCAACAAACCCAGGAGGTGCATGCAGTTTCAGTCAGAGTTATAGAGGAGAGAAGAAGAGATAATACCAAGTTAGAGATGACAAAGCATGGCAGCTCCAGTTTTGGTGGTGCTCTGTCCCTTTGCAAGGTGATCTTGATGGTCCTCGCCCTCATCTGCACCCTGCACACTGCCTCCGTGCAAGGAGGTAAAATACACTTCTAATCCCTCAGGGTCGATCTCTTTACAGCAGGGGCGGCTCCAGCAGGTAGTCCGGGTGGTCCTTGGACCACCCTGGATTTTGGCCCACGAGGACCCCCCCCCCCCGACGGCCCAAATCAAAAAAGCCCACCACAGGCGCTAGGGTTAGGATGACAGAGGAGAGGCGCACCGCGTAGGGACACCCGCCGCTCCGCTTCGCTTCTGTCTCGTCTCCGCCTCTCCCGAGTCCCGATTCTCCACTCCTCGCCTCGTCGCATCCTCGTCCTCTCGCTCTGCGGCTGCGGCAGGCGCCAGCGCCGGCGGCCATCGCCTGTACGCCTGCAGGAGCAGGACTGCAGGAGGCGGGCGACAGCCCGTCGGCCGCCCGGGCCCGACGTGGGCGTGCGGCACCATCCCGGCCGGCGGCGGCTAGCCGGCCACCATTTTGCCCCGCCGCCCGGCCACCCCTCACGGCAGCGACGACGCACCGGAGTCGGGTCCCTCTCCTTCCAGCCTCCTGCTCGACGAGTCACGAGTAGACGGCTTTGCTTGCTCCGGCCTCCAGTGCCCTGCCCCCCTGCTGCTGCCTGCCCCTCTGTGAAAGAACTGAAGAGTGAAGACCGAGATGGTGAGTTACCCATTTTAGTCTTTAGTATTTACTTTGAATAGATCGGTCATGGATGAATGAAAAATGTGATTGAAAACTGAAACTTAGATTTTTTTTTTAGCAGCAACTTAGTTAGTAGTCAATATAACTTAACTTAGTGTCTCATTAATTTGTAGTGCAAATTGCAGTGAGACATGAAAAGGAATGGAGACATTGCATCGCTTTTTCGGAAACATGAAGCAAAGGCGAAGAAGAGGGCAGATCTTATTGATGAGGAAGCTCAAATTGAAGAAGAGGAGCCACCACTAGTTGAGCCACATCCTGTGCCAACTCCAGTTGTTGAGGCAACAAATGAAGAGCAAGATGCACCTCCAGAGTATGATGCTGATCATCTTCAATATGATCCAGGACTGAGGTCCCCTATTGCGAGCTATGATGTCAATGAACAAGACGCAGTTCGGCGTGCATATATTCTGAAAGGCCCAAACCAATGTTATGCACATGATTTCCCAGTCAGGGAAATTTATGGTAAGAAGCGCCACTTCAATTTTGTTTGGTTTCATAAGTACCAATGGCTTGAATATAGTGTAGCAAAGGATGCTGGGTTTTGCATGGTATGTTACTTGTTTGGTAGTGGAACTAGTAATTTTGTTACGGATGGTTGGAGAAATTGGAACAAAGCCGATGCACTTGACAAACATGTGGGGGGTATAACAAGTGCTCACAATAAAGCTCAAGAGAAATACAACCTATTTGTAAGTGGTGGTCCTTCAATAGATAATGTCATTGTGAAGGTGTCAAATGAAAGTGAAATTCACTATAAGGCTAGGTTGACATATTCACTTAGATGTTTGAGATATCTTTTAAATCAAGGATTGGCATTTCGTGGACATGATGAAAGTGAAGAATCTAGTAACCGAGGGAATTTTATTGAACTTTTGAAATGGCTTGCTGAAAATAATAAAGAAGTTGATCGGTTGGTGTTGAAAAATGCTCCTGGAAATTGCATCTTGACTTGTTCTAGTATACAAAGGGAAATTATCCATTGTTGTGCTGATGAGACTACTAAGCGCATCATTGAAGAACTTGGTGATGATCATTATGCAATTCTTGCTGATGAGTGTAGTGACCTTTCACATAAGGAACAACTTGCTCTTTGTGTGCGGTATATTGACAAACTTGGAAGAGTATGTGAACGGTTCCTTGGAGTAGTCCATGTAGCTAGTACCACTTCTGCTGCACTTAAGAAGGCAATTCTAACTTTGCTTAGTGATCATCACTTGAGTCCTTCTCAAATTCGTGGTCAAGGATATGATGGGGCTAGTAACATGAAAGGGAAGATTAATGGGCTGAAAACATTGATCATGAAAGAGTCTCCTTCAGCTTATTACATCCACTGTTTTGCACATCAACTTCAATTAGTTCTTGTTTCTGTTGCCAAGGGAAATGATGATTGCGTATGGTTTTTTACTCAAGTTTCTCACTTACTGAATATTGTTGGTACTTCTTGTAAGCGTCATGACATGCTTAGAGATGTTAGAGCTCAAAAGATTATGGAAGCACTTGAATTGGGTGAAATAGAAAGTGGGGTTGGATTAAATCAAGAGATGGGATTGGCTAGGCCAGGTGATACTAGATGGGGTTCTCATTACAAAACAATATTGCATATTATTGGTATGTACCCCACAATTCATGAGGTGCTCATAACTCTTGGAAAAGACCCCACACAAAGAGATGATTGGCCAAGAATACATGCTGTGGTTGGAGCTTTTGAATCATTTGATTTTGTTTTTAGTGCACATTTGATGCTTGTCATTCTTGGATATACAAATGAGTTGTGTTTGTGCTTGCAAAAGAGAGACCAAGATATTGTTAATGCAATGTCACTTGTAACTTTGGCCAAGGAAAGAATGCAAAAATTAAGATCTGAAGGATGGGAAGAATTTTTTCAAGGAACTGTTGTTTCATTTTGCAATAAACATAGTATCCAAGTTCCAACCTTAGATGGAAAATATGTGCCACATGGAAGATCTCCACGGTTTTATCCGGACCAAACAAATGATGATCATTTTAGAAGAGAAGTGTACATTGGTGTGATTGATAAAATTAGCCAAGAGCTCAATAGTAGGTTTGATGAGGTTAATATGGAATTGCTCATTTGCATGTCAGCATTGAATCCATTCAATTCATTTGCCTCTTATGATGCACAACAAGTACTTAAGCTTGCCAAGTTTTATCCAAAAGAGTTTTCAACCATGGATTTGATCAGACTAGAAATGCAACTTGGGACTTTTATTGATGATATGAGAAGAGATGAAAGGTTCAAAGGCCTAGAAACTCTTGCTGAGCTCTCTATTAAACTTGTTGAAACAAACAAGCATGTTCTTTATGATTGGGTCTATTTACTTCTCAAGTTGGTATTGATATTACCTGTAGCAACAGCAAGTGTTGAGAGGGTGTTTTCTGCATTGAGTGTAGTGAAGAGCAAGCTGAGAAATAGTATGTGTGACAAATTATTGAATGATTGTTTAATCACATTTATTGAGCGGGATGTCTTCTCTCAAGTTAGCGAAGAAGACATTAAAAAGAATTTCATGTCTATGAAGACCCGGCGAGTAGAAAAGAAGTAGTGTATTATAATCTTCTACCTAAATATTGTAAGATATTTGAATTATTTATGTTGTAACTTTCGTAACTTTGAACTTAAATGTTGGTTTTAAATCAATTTGTGATGTACTGAGTTATCTTTCAATATTTGAATTATATTTCCACTATATTTGACATATTTGACTTGATTTTATAACATCGTGACAATTTGGGACGCCAAGCAGGACCACCCAACGATTCGATCCTGGAGCCGCCACTGCTTTACAGTGGTCTGATCTCTCTATCGGTAGTATTACACTATCGGTATTGTCAATGAAGGTAGCTCCCGGGTAAGTCGAGCCATTGCCCGGGCTCCGTCACTGCCGTCTCCATTACCAACTACGCGGTTAATAAGTGTAAAATTTAGTCGATCGTTATAAAACACTATTAATTAGTCATATCTAACTCGACGACGATCCTGGCTCCGCCACTGAGTATTGTTGTGATGGATGCAGGGAGAGCGGCTGCGGCAATTGGTGGGGGTGGGAAGGGTTCAGTATTGGATCCAACCTACACGCCGCCGACGACCCCCGGCGGGTCTTACACCGGCGGCCGGGGATGCCGCGGACCCTACAGATGCCCTCCTGGAGCAGGCTCGCCATGACCATGACCCACACTCCATCTCTCTGCTACATACAGTGCTACTGCATGATCGAAGACCATATCGATCTCGATCTCATTATCTAAAATTAAAGTATCGATCTCGATCTACTCATGTCGATCGATGCTATGCCTATATATACAAACAAATAAATAAACCAGCAGGCATCTAACGCAGATCGATGGATCGAGTAGGTGTCTTTTAATTCCTCTGTATGCGTTCCATATTGGAGTATATATAAAAGTAGTATCTGCTCAGTGTGATGTGTGCAGTGAACGTGAGGCAGCAGCAGCATATCTGCATATGTGATATGTAGTATGACTGTTACGTACCTCCAGAGCCGGTCCTATGATTTTGAGGGTCCTAGGTGAACTCGTTGCAATGGGCTCTCTAAGTTATATATAAAATTTTATGATATATATACGCTAATTTTATTTGCAAATGAAAATAAATTTATCCATATATTAAATTTAACATGTCTGGTAATTATCAAAAAATAAAGTCGACCAAAATAACAATATATTTGTACCTTGAAACTAATATCATTACCTTAATGAAGAATAGCATCCCATCATACCCACTATTTCTCATGAAAAGATACTTCTTCGGGTATTTCTTGATACAAAATCATCAAGAACGAGTCGACGACGCTGTGCGCCTGTGCGGTTGTGTCCTGTGCGATGCGATGCCGTCTGCCGAGTTACCGACGACGCTGCAACTCCTCTCGTTTCTCGGGTGTTTCTGCTTCAGGTAAGCCATAGGCAGGTACTAGACTACTAGTATTAGGTGTTGCCCCCCCTCCATCATCATGGGCCCACGGCGATCACCTCGGCTGCATAGCCCTAGGACCGGCCCTGCGTACCTCAACCTTACCTAGCTAGTTTCGTTTAGAGTTAGAGCTGATAAGATACGTATTATCTTTCTTTTTAGATAATGGCATTAAATTAATCTACAGCCACAGATAATACGTGGCTGTAGATAAATTAATCTGTGGCTTGTGAATTTGTGAAGGTCCTCGCACTCATCTGCACCCAGCACGCTGCTTCAGTAGTAGGAGGCAACTATATGGATACAATCTATTTTGAATGAAATAAAAAAAAATGGGACAATGTAAAAAGTTGTAAATCTAGCGAAAAAAAACTAATGTAAAATTTAACTTTGGTGCACTATACCTGAGTATAAGTGCTCTGTTAACTAAGTGTAATTATAAGTTGGATCGACAGTAACACAAATTTAGACGTAACATCCTACGGATGGAAAATTAAAAGATATAAGCTTAAAAATCTATCAAAGTGAAATAGTAAAACCAAACTTTTCCCCTACCCCGAGCCTCCTCCCCCTTCCCTCTCCCCGTTCTCTTCCCCAAAGGAGCGCGCTGAATTCCCTCCTCCGAACCATCTTCCCCATCTTCGGCGGTTCCCCGACACTACATTCACCACCACCAATCGCCACCTCCTTGTTTTCCCCACCGCCAACGCCGGCCCACCGCCTCCTGCCAACCCTATGGCTCCAGCACCACCACCGGTGCCTTGCCACCCGCCCGTGTCCACCACTTAGTTGCTCACCTCCGGTTCTCCGTCACCTATAGCTATCCCCCTAAGCTCTAGGGGTTCCATCTTCTCCCTCCCCCATCCCATCCCCCTCCTACCCTAACTCTAACTCCAACCTGAAAACTTTATCTTCTTGTTAGACATGAATCTTAACGTGGATCTAACGGTTCAAAATCTGTAAGATTTCATTCTTAAATTTTTGTGGAATGCTATTAAGCAAATCCATTTTATTAAAGAGAATGGTTAAAATGCGAGAGGAAATGGCCTAAGACATAATATAGGACCAACCAAACCGAAGAAGATTATTTAAAGAAAAAGACTAAATCTAGCGGCACAGGATTAAAAACGACCTAGTTATGTTGCTGGGAATGAAACATGGCACATGTAATTTTTTTTATATAATATGGCACATGTAATATATCTTGTACCACCTATTGGTATATTTTTTTCGTTCCATATAGTACCGAATATGATATATTATAGTATTACGAAGTATAGGCTGGTTTTGTTTTTTATATGACAGAGAGCATGCTGTTTGTCCTTGTCCTTGTTTTGCCTCTCAATTCTCTATGGTGGAGTAGATATGTACTGAGTAGTCAAGTCGGTCAAGCCCTCCAGGATGGAATAATGGAATTAACAACAGATTCTGGTGCCATCCTGAGTCGTGCTGTAGCCGAGCTGATAAGGTCTCTATTGATTAATTACTCTACCAGATGAGACGTCTCATATTGTGGAAAAAACGAAGACTTAATTTGTTGGCCAGTGCCAAAAAAATTTTTTTTTTGAGGGAACTGCCAAAAAATTTTTGAGGGAAAAGACCAGTGCCAAATTGGTCCCGGAAGAAATTAGGGGCTCAACTTTTTTTACTTATGCTTATATATATATATCATCTAAAATTTAAATTTTTAATCTTAAATTTGAAGCTGATTTTGAGTTTTTTATCTGAATTTATTTTTTAGATTTTGCTTTTAGATCGTTAAGAACACATATATGAAAATCTTATTTATAAATTATTTTTCATTTACAAATATATCGTTTGGATTATTTCACAAATATAAACCAAACGATGGGGTTGTAACTTGTAAGAGATCGGGCCAGCCATTGACTCGTAGTAAACGATAGCGAACTGCACTATTAATTCTGGAAACCCACGGCCTTTTGACGAAGAAGCAACAACTAAACTCAGGAGGTGCATGTAATTTATAAGGATAATTCGTTATATTCCACTTCAAATTAGCCTGTTTTCTCATATGTCACTTAAAATTAGCCCTTTCACTCTATGTCACTAGTTTAAACTTGCCTATCCTCGTGTGTCACTGACGTCACTCCTCTGGCTCTTCACTAGTAATAGGGTTTAATCAGTTATCAGTTTTTTCAAAAGTGACCCAAAATGTTTTCGAGGGAAAAGATCAGTGCCAAATTGGTCCTGGGATTAATCAAGAGGCCCGGCCAGCCATTGACTCCTAGTAAACGATAGCGAAGTGCACTAAATATACTTTACTACCCTGCCTGCTTGCCTGCAGGCTCTATAAATTCTGGAAACCCACGGCCTGTAGTCGATCGAAGAAGCAACAATTAAACCCAGGGGGTGCATACATTCCAGTCAGAGAGAAGAACAGGATAATTAATTAGTGGAGTGGTAATTAAGCGAGATGAGGACGCACCGCAGCTCTTCTTCTGCCGTTGCTGCTGCACTGTCCCTTTGCAAGGTGCTCCTGATTGTGCTCGCGCTCATCTGCACCCTGCACACTGCTTCCGTAGACGGAGGTAAACTAAACTAAATACAGTAGTATATCAAAACTTTTTTGATCCGTGTCCAACTAACTAATTAAGCTGCCCTGCATGCATGCAATGTTTGCAACTATGTTAGCTATACTAGACAGGGTTAATTAGTGGTGTAATTAATCTGAATGATGAACATTAGTACTGCTTAATTCTTGCTAGTTGTTCAACGTTAAGAGCTAATCAAGCCTCCGTAAGACATCACTTATTCTTCAAAGGTTCAGTATTTTTCTTTTCTTCTACGTATAATCAACGGCAAATTTGCCCAATGAACATATGTGTGCGCGTGCCCTAAGAGCAAGGTTAATAGTATAGCCAACTACTAACTCCAATTCATCTATAGCCAATTTAATAGCTAATTTATATAATAGTTACTTACTATACTATTAGCATATGGTCCCGCTGTCATATACACATTGCGTCTTAAAATCCGTGCTGCAGCTGGCTACAGATTTGTAGCCCGCTGCTCTTCTCTCTCATCTTTTATCTTATTAAAATATATTTGCAGCTGGCTTATAGCCTACTATTGTACCTGCTCTAAGGTGGGGAAGCTCACCTTGCACAGGGATCGGAGGAAAGTGAGGTTGGAAAAGAAATCTTACACGAGCAGATGTGGGTGTTGGAGCGGAAACTTTTAATCATCACACGAGATTTGGAGGAAGAGATATCTCTCCAAACATTTTTTAAAAAGAAATTGAGATTTGGAGGAATAGACGTCTCTCCAAATATTTTTTAAAAAGAAATTGTGAGCATGTTGAGTATTGAACACAGGAACTCAGGGTTGAAATTACACAACCCTTACCAGTGCACCATATAAGGTGCATATCTCAATCAAAGACCATATCATCACTCCTTTAAGTTGATCAATACCGTGCTTTTTTTAAAAAAAAAAATCAATACCATGCTCATACATGGTCTGCCTTGGCTCTAATAAAATGCTTGGGCTTGGTACTCGATCCTTTGTCCTAGTGAGTTCTGACGCACGGAATGAGGCGTGCCGCGTGCGACCGTCAACTTTGCAGGGGAATAAGTTCACCCTAGGTCCCTTAACTTGTCAACGAATCCGATTTTCATCCTCCAACCGAAAAACCAGATACAACGAGTCCCTTAACTGTCAAAACCAGCATGAGGTCCCTTAGCGGTTTGGATGGTGGTTTTGGCTGACGTGGCGCCTACGTGGCTAATTTGACTCGTTCTTCATTTGACGTGGCGCTTATGTGGCAATTCGATCTAAGAAAAATAATAAACCCGTGGGACCCACATGTCAGTTTCACACATGAATTAATAAAAAATAGTGGGGCCTACGTGGGCCCCACATGTCATTCTCACTCCCCTCCTCTTCTTCCTCCTCTCTCCCCATCTCCTCTCTCAGGCGCAACAGAGAGGGCGCAGCGCACGCCCTCCGCCGCAACCCGCCTCCACCACCGTCGTCATCCTCCACCACCTCGACCCCGCCGGCGCCGACATCGCAGTAGACGAGCAATGACAAGGGGACGAGACGAAGGAGGACAAAAACGGGAGGCTGGCGGCCTGCATCTCCTTGGTATGCTTCCATGTCCCATCGAGGAGTAGCAGCGTCGGGTTGGCTCGCGCGGGCGGAGGCGTGTATCGGCACCAGGAAGCGAGGTCGACGGCGTCCGGCGAAGGGAAGAGCAGGAGGACGAGGCTCAAGATGAGGGGGCCGGAGCCCGGAGGAACTAGGAAGGGAGGAGGCGGCGGCCGGGGATGATGAGGAGGTTGGAGAGGAAGCAGGTGAGGAGGGGCCGCTCCCTCCTCTACCGCCGACATCTCCGCGCGCCGGATACGACGAGCTGAAGCGGATGCACTACCTGCACGGCTGCACGAGACCATCAGCGAGGCGATGCGGCTGTACCTCCTCCTCTGTCCCCCTCTCTCCCAGCTTCTCTCTCTGCCAACGAGAAGAACGAGTTGAAGACAGACGGTCAGTCGGGCAGTCATTGACACCGGCGGCAATGGCGGCGGCCTTGGCGAGCATGGACGACGACAACAACTTGGGTCACTAACATGTGTGTTTTTCGTCTCCGTGCCAAATCTGACATGGTTGCAGTCTTGCAGATGGCCGGCCTCACTGTAGTGAACACGAGCTCATGCATGTCTCGAGCAGCAGCAGCAGCAGCAGCAACTGCTTGTTGGTGCCTGCCACTAATCCTGTTGGCTGTTTAGCTCGATCTGTACACTAATCCTCGCTGTCCTGAGCTCGAACTCCGCCTCTCCTCCTCACCGCTGTGCAGCATCTAACATGATGTGGCGGCGCGGGAGTAGGCACCGACCCCGCGGCCTGCCGCCGCCGCCGCCGCCGCTTCTCCGCTTCGTCGGCATGCTCCTGCCGGCTGTGAGGCGGCGCCGCGGCGCGAGGAGATGGCTTGATGAGGAAGAGGGAGAGCTGAGAGGGGAGAGGGAATGACATATGGGGTCCATGTGGGCCACGCCATTTTAAAATTATTATTTTTAGCTGACAGGTGGGCCCATGGTTTTATTATTTTTTTGAGACGTAATTGCCACGTAAGCGCCACGTCAATGCCATGTGGGACGGAGACCTAGTCAAACTAGCCACGTAGACGCCACGTCAGCCAAAACCACCTTCAAAACCGCCGAGGGATCTCATTTGTACCTGTTTTGATAGTTTAGGGACCAGTTATATCTGGTTTTGGGTTCAAGCATGAAAATCGGATTTGGCGTAAAATTAAGGGACCTCAGATGAACTTATTCCACTTTGCAGGATAGGGAGGTTCGGAGAATAGATCTCCGACCCCCAGTTGGGCCAGATAAACAGAGGCATGGGCGTGATGGGCCGCCCGTAATGGGTTCGGCTCCTCCCACCAATCGGGCCTAATAAACACGCAGAAACAAATTCGTAGTGATGGGCCATGAAGTCGGTTAATCCCTCCAGAAATAAGTTCATCTGAGGTTCCTTAACTTGTCAACGAATCCAATTTTCGTCATTCAACCGGAAAACCAGATACAACGGGTCTTTAACCTATCAAAACCAGTGCAGATTAGGTCCCTCGGCGGTTTTGAGGGCGGTTTTGGCTGACGTGGTGCTTACGTGGCTAATTTGACTTGGTCTTCATCTGACATAACAATGACATGGCGCTTACGTGGCAATTCAATCTGGAAAAATAATAAACCCCGTGGGACCCACATGTCATTTTCACACAAAATAACAAAAAAAACGGTGGGGCCCGTGGACCCCACGTGTCATTCTCACCCCTCTTCTTCTTCCTCCTCCTCTCTCCCCATTTTCCCTCTCTTCATCTCTCTCTCCTCTCTCCAGACACGATCGAGAGTCAGCGGTGCGCGGCGGCCGGCGGGAAAGGAGGGAGTGGCGTGCAGCCGCGGAGGCACGTCTCCAGCGGCTGTGGGCGGAAGAGGAAGGGGCGGCGGAAGGTGGCGGGAAGCGGCGGGAGGCGGCTTTGTCCTGAAGAACTAAGCAGCAGCAGAGGACACCATGCGAGCGAGGAGGAGAGGAGAGGGAGGGGAGAAGGTGTGCATGCTTACGTCGCTGTCCACGGCTACGGCGGCGGTGGCGCGGTGCCCCGGTCGGACGGCTCGATGTTGAGCAGCGTGTCGAGGAGGTCGAGCGCCGGTGGCGAGAAGTCCCTGAACATCTCGGCGATCTTCCGCCGGTAGGCCGCTGCGGCTTGAACAGCGTCACGTCCGGCAGCTTCGCCTTCGCCCAATACTATTCCGACGGCGACCCGCACAGCTTGAAGATCTTGTGCAGCTGCTCGATCTGCGTCGATCAGCAATGACAAATCAGATGCCGATCCATTTCATCCACGCATAGATGATATCATGATATATAGATGGAGAGTTGAGGTTATAATATTTATTTATTTGCCTTGGTTTGGCTGGGCAAGATGGGCTTGCCGGCGAGAAGCTCGGCGAGGATGCAGGCATGCAGCCGGTGCTCCAGAGGTCGACGGCGACGCCGTACTCGGTGGCGTCGAGGAGGAGCTCCGGTGGGCGGTACCAGAGCGTGATGATGCGGCTGGAGCGGCTGCGGCCTGGCGGCGTGAAGAAGGTGGCGAGGCCGAAGTCGGCGATCTTGAGCACGCCCGTCGCCGTCGATGAGCAGGTTGGCGCCCTTGATGTCTCGATGCAGCACGCACCGTTCATGGCAGCTGCGGAGCTCGACGAGGATATGCGCCATGAAGCACTTGACCTGCGGCTCCATGAAGTGCAGCCCCGGTGTGGCGGCGAGGTCATGGTCCATGTACTCGAAGACGAGGTAGAAGGGTGAGAATGACATGTGGGACTCACCATTTTTATTAATTTGTGTGAAACTGATATGTGAGTTCCACGGGTTTTATTATCACGCCAATGCCACGTTAGATGAAGACCGAGTCAAATTAGCCATGTAAGCGCCACGTCAGCCAAAACCGCCCTCAAAACCGCCGAGGGACCTAATCTACATCGGTTTTGATAGTTGAGGGACCCGTTGTGTCTGGTTTTTGGGTTGAGGGACGCAAATCGAATTCGACTTGCTGAGTCGTGGTAATTAAAGTTGTCATCAATTGCTCCTGATTCTCGTGTGTAAAATGCATGATATCCACGTCTAATTAATTTCTCCATGGCCATACACAGAGAGAGAGAGAGAGAGAGAGAGAGAGAGAGAGAGAGAGAGAGAGAGACAGTACTGGATGCCCTGGGGAAAAATGGTGAATATAATTGCTAGCGCGAGCCAAATTGGCCGGGGACAAAACAGAAGTGGCATGTTGTTGGTTGCTGACGATGGTAATTAAACGAAAGCGAATTGCAGTCCCATGTGCTACGTGTTGGGTAATAGCACAGGGATCAATTTCTTTTTCTTCTAGGAATCAACTCTTTGTCACTTTAGATTGTACGGAGGATGAATTAAGCATGACTTAACGGAGACTTACTAATGCATGGAAACGCACACTTTGTTACTCATGCAAGCAGAACGCATGCACTTACTCATGCATCCATAACACACTTACTCATTGATTAATGTGCATGCAAAAACCCACTCATCGATCACTAATACATGCATGCAGAAACCGAATACTACCATCAAGCCGTTATCTAGCTACTACCACCAATTGAATGTCATATGGCCACAACCAAGCAACACTACGGACAGGTGCTATATACTCCCTCCGTTTTGAAATGTTTGACACCATTGACTTTTTAACACATGTTTGACCATTCATCTTAGCTTATTGAAAAACTTTTGTAAAATATGTAAAATTATATGCCTACAAAAAAAATATATTTAACAATGAATCAAATGATAGGAAAAGAATTAATAATTACTTAAATTTTTTTAAACAAGATGAACGGTCAAACATGTGCTTAAAAAGTCAACGGCGACAAACAATTCGAAACGGAGGGAGTATAAATTCTGAGCCCAACAGCCGGTAGAGAAGCAACAGTAAAACAGCAACCAATTGAGTTGCAATATTATTGAGAGCAGAAGACAACAAGGTTAGAGATGAGGAAGCAACACACTTCTTCTGCTGCTGCTGTTGTGTCTCTTTGCAAGGTGCTCCTGATGATCCTCGCCCTCATCTGCACCCTGCACACTGTCCCCGTAGACGGAGCAGGTAATTACTAGTACCCTATAATTAATTTAACCATTGGAGTTGAGCCATGTTCATGCAGCATCGAGAAATGCCCAGGGGTCTTCCGGCTAGCTCCACAAGGTGGTGGGCTAGACGACCTGGGTTCAAAGCCTCACCCCTCCTAATTATTTGATATTAGGTCCTTCCCTAATATTCTAGTTTTTTATGCAGCATCAACAGACAAATACTCCTAAAACATTCTTGTGTTTTATCATTGGAGTTGAGCCATGTTCATGCAGCATCAGCATATATTAATAATACTCCTAAAACATCCCAGGCCAGCCGCTGTACATCCTTTATATGCATACACAGACAAACTAAACCTCTGATCTAATTAATTAATTAATGAACTAAGTAAGAGCATGATGGATGGATGCAGGGAGAGACAGAAGCAGGAGGTCACTGGATCCAAACTACAGGCCATCGGTTCCTCCTGGAAGGCCTTACACGCCAACGCCCCCCGGATGCAACGCTGTCTACGGCTGCCGAAACTCTCCACCCTCATCACCATGACACTCTTCTTCTTCTTCTTCTTCTTCTTCTAGTGCTTCTGCTGCTGCTAGGCCCATCTCTAAGCTAATCAATGACGCCATGAAATAATATGGTTACACGAATAAACATGGCCAGCTAATATTGATGAAATTCTATCTGCTGGTACAGCGCCGAACAGGCACAGCCACCTACGTACAGTAATATGCAGTGGACTGTGGACGTACTATACTCCTATATGTGTGATGTATCATGTATGATCTATATGTACTTGTCATCAGCTGATCGATATGCTCCTCTCGTGCGACTCTTCATCGTAGACTTTTTACATTTTAGATTTTTATTAAAAAACTAGCATGGTGACCCGCGCAGATTGCGCGGCTAGCATCATTATATTTTCTCTCATATAATAGCATATATGTTTTCTCATTATATTATTCAAATATATTAAAATGATATCATAATTTTAAATTTTGCAATAACTTTACGAAACTACAAATGAGTAATATTTATATTGTATTTTATATACGTGTTGGTTAGTAATTATTTTTAATATCAAATTTTAGTTATTTGTAAATTATATATATTCCTATATGGACTCTAGACTCGTCTTTTAATATTTCTTTTTTTAATTCCGAATTTTCTGTAAATTGTATTTCTATATAGACTTTAGGCTCTTCTTCTAATATTATTTATTTTTATTTCTGAATTTTTATTATTTCTAATTGTGTTTCTATGTGGACTCTAAACTCATCTCTCAATATTATTTAATTTTTAATTTCGAATTTCAGTTACTTCTAAATTGTATTCCTATATTGACTTTAAACTCTTCTTCCCATGTTTTTCTTAATTTCGAATTTTAGTTATTTGTAAATTGTATTTTTATACGGACTCAAAACTTTACTTTTAATTTTACTATGTTTATTCCGAATTTTAGTTAGTTTTAAATTCTTATATGGACTCTATACTCTACTTCTAATATTTCTTATTTTTTAATTCCGTATTTCTATTTTTTTTCTTAATTGTATTAATTGTATTTTTATATGGACTCTATACTCTACTTCTAATATTCCTTATTTTTAATTCCGAATTTCTATTGTTTCCTAATTGTATTTCTATATGGACTCTATACTCTACTTCTAATATTCCTTATTTTTAATTTTGAATTTCAGTTATTTCCTAATTGTATTTCTATATGGACTCTAGTCTCTTCTTCTAATATTTCTTATATTTTTAATTCCGAATTTCAATTATTTCTAAATTGTATTTCTATATGGACTCTAGTCTCCTCTTCTAATATTTCTTATTTTTTTAATTCCGAATTTCAGCTCTTTCTAAATTGTATTTCTATATGGACTCTGCTTTTTCTTTTTCTCCGATTAATGTGAGAATTTCTAGGCCATGAGAGCGAACGTGGAGGCTCCTTTTTCTATTCCTTTAATAATATAATAGATTTATAAATAGATCCCTGAAAAAAATTATTTCAAGAATGGGTTCTTTTCGCAATGCCAACATCATTAGCGCCGTAGATCAATGTGATGGTGCCAGCTATGTTGGCGCCCCTCCCCTTTTGCCTTACACGCAGGAGGCTGGCATTCCAAATTTACCATTTTTCATGCAAATTTATAAAGTTATAGTTAGTTACAGTAAATTTCTATCGTGCCACCAAATTTGTCTCCTCCATATAATACATAGCTACAAATTTAACTTAAATCAATTTTTTCATACAACCATCCATTCATGTCTCAACTAAAAATTATCATTACCACATATATGCACTCCAAAAAATCATAGCACCAACGAGCACATTGTGTACATGTAACACTACAATCATCAAATCCCCAATTTCAACGGTCAGAATCACAAAATCGGGAAAAAAAAGAGTTCTAGAGTTACCCTCCGATCTAAAACGCAAAAAAAGAGGGAGAATGGAGGATATACCTTGCTCTTTGATTTTCCCAATAAATCTTGTAAAAAAAATGGCTCCAAACCGAATGGATTTAAGGAGAAGAGGTGATAGAGAGTGCACGAGATGCACTCGAGCTCGGGCGGAAGAGGAGGGGGCGAATAGGCGGGGAGTGGATGTACGGGGTGGGGCTCGTGTGCTTCCCCCCTCCACGGGTAGAGCGTGCTAGGGCTGTTGGTGCACGGGGAGGGTTTGGCAATATTGTTGGCGCCTAGTACCTCCTGCCACGTCAGTGCCGGGCCGCCGTGTGGTGCCATGGTGACGGCGCAAGAGACCGTCCAGTTGGACCTCGACGCCAGCAATTCTAGCGCCAAAAAGGATCATTCCTTAAATAAGTTTTTTCTAAGAATCTATTTATAAAATAAGTTTGTGAAAATGACCAAATTGTAAAAAATCAAGGAGAGTACATGACAACCTCGTATACACATACTGGATCTTGTGTTTGTAGACGACTATAAATTTGTATCCCTCTCGTCTTCTGTCTTCTCCACCCAAGTACAAATTTGAAGTGGCAATTTTTAATTTTCACTCACAACACTTGTTATACTTGCTCTAACACATAAGTATCTGATATACACCCAAAAGGTATATGCGAGCTACAAGAGTGGATTATTGGGTGAAATCAGTCAAGCCCTCCAGGATGGACTAATGGAATTAGAAACAATATAATTAATTTTGGTGCCACCACGAGTCATGCTGCAGATGGTAAGGTTAGTTGTTCCTGATTCTCTTTAATTAATATAACTAGTATTATGGCTAATTACGTACACGTGCATGTCGTGGAATCAAATCAACGACAACTTTTGCTGGCTAGTGCCAAACCGGTCACAGGAAGAAAGGAGGACATGGCATTGACCCATGGTAAACGATATGGCAATCGAACTGCACGCACTACTCACTGCTACTTGCTCCGTACAAAAAAAAATCAAAAACTGGATATGACATATCTATCATAGTACAACGAATCTGAAAAGAGGACTGTCCAGATTCATTATATTAGAATGTGTCTCTAGTATTAGGTTGGTTTTTTATGGGACGGAGGGAGTACGTAACATGCCTGCTGCTAGCTAGCTAGCTGTGGGTCTATAAATCGTGAAAACTCAACAGCTATGTAGAGAAGCAACAAATTAACCAAAGAGGGTGCAATTTCAGTCAGAGTAGGGAGAAGAAAAGAGTTAGTTTAGAAATGAGGAAGCAACACACTTCTTCTGCTGTTGCTGCTGTTGCTGCGTCTCTTTGCAAGGTGCTCCTGATGATCCTCGCCCTCCTCTGCACCCTGCACACTGCCTCCGTGGTCGAAGGTAAATATATACTCCCTCTGTTTCAAACTATTTGACACTGTTGATTTTTTATACGTGTTTAACCGTTCGTCTTATTCAAAAAATTTAAGTAATTATTTATTCTTTTCATATCATTTGATTTATTGTTAAATATACTTTCATGTACATATATAGTTTTACATATTTCACAAATTTTTTTTGAATAAGACGAACGGTCAAACACGTGCTAAAAAAATCAACGGTGTCAAATATTTTGAAACGGAGGGAGTATTTACTAGTACTCCGTTCGATCGAGTTAAATTAACTTTGTGGGTTTGTGCATGCTGCATGTTATTTATAAAATTAACGAGTAGATCGATCAGTGACATGCTATACACAGTGTTAATTGGGTGAATGAAGTGTATTGATCACATGATATATGGATGCAGGGAGATCAGGTCCTCCGAACGGGCCGCCAGCTCCTAGTGCCAACGAAGAGCGGCACAATACACCGGCCTTTCACAACTAGCTAGCTTGATATAACAGCTGCAGACTCACCATGCATGACAACCTACATACCTGCAGCTCTCTATACCCATGACATGGCATGTAATAATATGTGTGTGTGATACTACGTATGTACTGTTTCTGTTGCCGGATCGGATGATGATCGATGTTCAACTTACTCTCCTAGCTGAGTAGTCCCTTAATCCTTTTCATCTCTTTGTGTAACTAGTGAGCAAAGGAAAATTAAATATAGGGATCTCATCGATCTGGGGCTTCTCCATGTCTGTCAAGAGCTTGTGTAGATCGAGCTGTGTGATGGTGTTAATCCTGGGAGGCACACTATACATACGAAGAGTTTTAACAGAGATGGTAAAGAGAAGGCCCGGCCTGGCCTGACTAATGGGCCGTGCTTGGGCCTATTAGCACGGCACGACCCAACAATCAGGGGGGACCCTAATAGGCGATCGATCGCCCTGAGGATGGGGCAGCGATCGATCCCCTCCCCCTCCCTCCCTCTACCTGATTTTCTTTTTTGGCACCGCATTACTTTCCTATTTTAGTAAATTTATACACTTAAAGTTTATACACTTCAACTTTACACATCTAAAGTTTAGTGACCAAAAGTTTATAAGTCAAAAGTTTATATATCCGATTCAAATTTGAATTTTAATTCAAATATTTTTTTATATATAGTATTTCTATACATCTAAAGTTTATACATCTAAAGTTTATAGACCTAAAGTTTATATACCCGTTTCAAATTTGAATTTGAATTATATCTTATTCAAATTTGAATTTGAATTCAAATATTTTCTATATATAGTATTTCTATACACCTAAAAGTTTATAAGTCAAAAGTTTACATACCCAATTCAAATTTGAATTTGAATTATATCCGATTCAAATTTAAATTTGAATTCAAATATTTTCTATATATACTCCTTCTTTCCCTAAATGTTTGACACCATTGACTTTTTTAAACATGTTTGACCGTTCGTTTTATTCAAAAACTTTTGTGATATGTGTAAAACTATATGTATACATAAAAGTATATTTAACAATAAATCAAATGATAGAAAAAGAATTAACAATTACTTAATTTTTTTAATAAGACGAACGGTCAAACATTTTTAAAAAAGTCAACGGCGTCAAACATTTTGGGATGGAGGTAGTAGTATTTCTATACATCTAAAGTTTATACACCTATAAATTATAGATCTAAAGTTTATAAGTCAAAAGTTTACATACCCGATTCAAATTTGAATTTGAATTCAATTTTTTAATATATAGTATTTCTATACATAATTTTTCTAACTTTTGTTTTTTTAAAAAAAATTGTGGTGTACCGTAGTAGGAAGAGAAGAAGGAGAGAAGGAAGGGGGAGAGGAGGGAGGAGTATAGGGGGAAGGCACAGCGCGGGGCGATCACCTGCGCATTAGCATTTCCCAACAATCAGGGAGACAAAATAGATTTATTCCAGCCATGTAGACATGGCCCAAAGAAATGAGGGACTCAAAATAAATTATTCCAACAATATAAGACACGGTCTAAAGAGATAAGAAAAGCAAAATAAACTTATTCCAAGACGAACACGATGGGCCAGTCGTGCTTTTGGGCCGGTACGGCACAACCCACGCCTTATTGGACTGTGCCTAAGCCACAGGTACATCCTGTGGCCTAGCCTGGCACGACACAAAGAGTATGCCAAGCTGCCAGCCCGACATACCTTAGGCCGTGCCGACCCGATATGCCTTAAGCTGTGCTCTAGTCGTGTCCGAGCCGTGCCATGTCAGCAGCTCATTTAGCCATCTATATAACTAGCCAAGCCAAGCCAAGCTAGCTCATTATTTTAACGAGCCATACTGAGCTAAGCTAGCTCGACATCCATCTCTATCAATGGTCAAGTGCAAGATCTCTCGGTGTCAGCAAGGGGAAAGGCTCATGCGCGCGGGTGGGGCCGAGAACTGCGTGGGGAGTGAGTGGAGACTGATTGAGAGTGACGGATTGTAAAAAAAAAAGAAGAGAGGGACCCACCACGGCTGAGAAAAAAAGTACTCCCTCCGTCTAACGTTTTTGACTTTTTATTTGCAACGTTTAACCATTCATTTTATTTGAAAAATTAGTGTAAATAAAAAAAAGATAAGTCATATGTAAAGTACTTTTGATAATAAAGCAATTGACAAACAAAATAAATAATAATTTCAAAATTTTTTGAATAAGATGAATGATCAAACATTAACAAACAAAAACTTAAAAAGACAAGTAATATGGGACGGAGGTAGTATGACGATTGGAAAATTCGGTATCTTTTAAGTTGGGATAGATGTAACAGTGATGTCGGTCAAGCCTTCACGATGGACCTATGGAATCGAAGTAGCAACGACATTTCTGAAGTTTGGCGCCACGCAATAATATCTTGCTTGAAATTTGTTTACTGTCCATTTCTGATCAATTTTTCCATGCCAGCGCGCACCACTGGAGAAGAAGGGGACCCGCTAGCAAGTGCCAAATTGGAGCCGGAAAAAGAGTGCCCATTGACCCCTGGTAAACGATAGAGAAGTGAGCTGCAGCCGCTATAAATTCTGAACCCAATATCCGGTAGAGAAGCAGCAACACAGCGAGAGAGTGCAATAATTTCTTCAGACCTACCGACAGAAAAAAAAAAGAGAAAGATGATGAGGAAGCAAAGCAGCAGCTCCACCTCTCGTGCTACTGCTGCTGTAGTGTCGCTTTGTAAGGTCCTTCTGATGGTCATAGGGCTCATCTGCGCCCTGCACACTGCCACCGTAGAAGGAGGTAAATCAAATACTCCCTCCATTTCTAAATAGCTTGACACCGTTAATTTTGTATTACATGTTTGATCGTTCGTCTTATTAAAAACTCTTGTGAAATAAGTATATTTAACAATGAATCAAATAATAGGAAAAGAATTAATAATTACTTTAATTTTTTTATAAGACGAATGGTCAAACATGTTTAAAAAAATCAACGGCGTCAAATATTTAAGGACAGAGGAAGAGAAAGTATTATACATACATATCCGTTAATAGTTAACATTTGTGTTAGCTGCATGTTGTTAACGACCACATATACGGTACTAGTATATATAGAGTAAATTAACACAGCTAACTAATGAATGGAGTATATACATACATATATATATATATATATATATATATATATATATATATTCTACGTACTATTTAAAATCACATGGTGCAGGTTAGATTTCAGATCCAGCCTATATATGTTTAGTAGTGATATAGATCCGTTGCAATTTGTAATGTATCTAACATATATATATTTTTACGAGGGATGCAGGAAGAGCGCTAGCGGCAGCGGCAGTTGGTGGTACTGGTGTGGACTTGCCACCAACTGCACCAAGCTACTCCAGCAAGTGCAGATATCCCTACAAATGCCCCCCTGCAGGCTCACCATGACAACCTGCATATGCCTCTGCTCTAGCGCGCTAGGCCGCCCATGGCCATGCGGTACACTTTCATGCATGGCTTGTCTACATATATATTATAGTGTACGATCGATGTATGATATATATACTTGTCGTCGTAAATAAAGGGAGGCCAAATATGTATTTGTAAGCTTAATTTTTTGAACGAATATACCATGCTATTTCACTAAATATAGTGGGAATAGTGTCACGCCCCGAACTAGTCTCGACTGGAACTAGCCCGTGACGCTCCAAATTAACCTGTTAATCGATACCAGTCCCAGGAAACAGTGCTGGTATCACAGGAAGACAGAATATCACAGCAACAGAGGTCTCTTTATTATAGAGTAGGAGTACAGTCATGTTGGGCTGCGGACAGATCCCGAGCTCACAACTGCATTACAAAAGGAAAGCGAAAGCCAGGACTAGGACCAAACATCACAGGCGCGACTTGGGAACTAGGCCGAAACCCTAAAACTCATCGTAGCCGGCTTGCTCCTGGAAGAACTCCTCATCAGCCGGATCCGCTTCATCTTCTTCAGCAACTGGGGGGGAAATTATTTATATAGAGCAAGGGTGAGTACGAGAGTACTCAGCAAGCCAGGGGAAATAAGTGTTTAATGCAGGCTTCAAGGAGAGGCTGGTGTTTTTGCAATTTATTTTATTTGAACTCTTTTCTGAAACAACTAAGTGAGTGCTTCTCAAACGACACGGATGAGACAGTGCGTCTCGTCCGGTCAGAGTATGTGCAATGTATCAGTCTTTAGATTTTGAAACAAGGTTGGCACCCGGCTAACAGCTTTTCAACGGCCACCCGGGCCAACAACTTTTCAAACGGCCACCCGGGCCAACAACTTTTCAAACGGCCACCCGGGCCTAGCTGATCCCATCAGCTACAGATTTTTCAAACATGGAACCCTTTTCCACAACAGCAATTTCACAAGCAGTAGTCAAACAAAACTACGCTAGGAATCACCTCACATCCGCCCATGACCGTGGGCACGGCTGTTCGAACAGTTTGTTACCCTCTGCAGAGGGGGTACACTTTACCCACACGACATTACTAACCCGGATCACCCAGCCCGTGGGGATCAGCCACGTCGGGAGACCTCCAAGCTTTCATGACAAGGCATTTCCAAAGCCGACACAGGTTTACCATATGCCGACGAGAGGGGTCCCAGACCAACAACAGGTTAGGTCCCAGACCATACTGTGCCAGGAAGCCCAGGGGTCCTCCCCGACACCACCCCGGCGAATTCACATGTCTCTCGGCATCAAGGCTCCCCTGATAAGCTAGTTACTCAGCTAGGGGTGTCCCATTCCACCCATGTGGTCGTACTTGTCTTATGTTTAGATGAAATTCCAAGGAAACGGTCCTTAAGTGCAAGAGCGGGAAACCGTACACCCGGTACGTTCCCTGGTCCGCGGTTTTGGAAATTCATTTAGTTCGCAAGCACCGACCCAGGTGTCGGGTTTTCCAAGTCTCTTGTAAAACCCAAGTTTTACCCAAGTTGTTTTTCAGATTTTAAGTTTGAAGGCGTCCGTCGATACTCGCACTGGGTACACGAATATCGAGACGCAACTAGATGGTTGCAAGGGGGCATGGTATCACAATTAACAAAGGAAGGATCAAATGCAACAAATTAGGTAGATCTGCCAATCTGCCTTGCAGACGGGACAACAGATTAAGTGCGGTCCTATCAATGCATAATATTTTTTAAGCAACATAATTAAATTTCAAATATAGGCTCAAGATGTTCAAAGGTGGCTTGCCTTGCTCGAGATCTGGAGCTTGATCCTCGAAATCCTCGCACTGCGGGTCTTCGGGCTCCGAAACTACACGCGAAACGGGACAACTCAACAAACGGCGAAAATAAAGCCCTATTAATGACCTCTAAGCGTGCCATTAGATAGATC